CAACAACAAAAAACGTCTTCACAGGTGTAGCCTACACTGTCGCTGAACTACTCTGCATCGTATATCCGTCCTCTCTCGCGTGTTGACTCTGCAGGAAGTCCCCCGCCTCCGGTGCTTTCAACTGGGTCCTCACAGCGACCGCGTCTCTAACAGGCGGCGCATTCCGTTTTCCTGCGGTGGTGGTGGCGGTGAAACAAGCTCTGCTAATGCAAATGCACGTTTCATGGGTCGTGTTAGGAACCGGACTCATCAGATGCTAACTCCACCCACGGTAGTGGAGAGAGAGAGAGAGAGAGAGAGAGAGAGTGTAACAGGCGGCCCGCTGAAGGAGAGCAGTGTTGATGGCTGATGATTTATGCTTTTTTATTAACATATATTAACAGCTCATGATAATACTCAGATCGTTAGTGTATGAGGCATGATGATGATGGAGCGCAGTCTCTTCTGGATGCAGTTTCTGCTGATCAAGTATGTGGATGCAGCACAGAGATGTGGGGGATGGAGAACAATGTGGAGCTCTGGCCCAGAGCAGAAACTCCCACTCAGCCAGTGAATAGACTGGAACAGGAGGCGCACACATAACAGATAAACACGGACACTGTATGCAGAGCGGAGGAGGCTCATTGAGGCTGTTCATCTTCATGTTTACTTTAACAGCTGAGCACGATGGAGCCGTCTATTTCAGGTTCAGCAGAGGTTCCCATGTGCCCTCATAAAGTACTTGTTTCATTTGAAGGATATCACTAAGAGATATAAATGATCCAGTATTTCTCAAAGGATAACCCGATCCAACCAACATGGGTCCCTGCAGACTTTTTGTCACATCACACAGGTGCTTTATTGTTTTTTAACATTCCGATGTCATTCAATTTGTTCCTAATGACTTCATATTATTGTTTTCTTTTCTTAGTGTTTTGTTAAAGATATAAATATATTAGTGCTGGGCAAGTTAACCCGTTAATTTCGCGTTAACGCATTCATTAATTAACGCCGACAATTATTTTATCGCGAGTTAATGCATTTTTTAAATTTATTATAATTTTTTATTTTTTTATTGAAAGACATGAGACAATACATATACATAATAACAAGAAGATGAAAAGAACAGTGGGATAAAAGCCAGCAAACATCCTATAGTCAGTTGTGTATGTATGTGTGTGTGTGTGTGTGTGTGTGTGTGTGTGTGTGTGTGTGTGTGTGTATGTCCTTGAGCCTTTTGAGATGGGAAAAAAAAACAATAATAATAATAATAAAAAAACAGGTAAGTATTTTTAATTTATTATTATTGTAACAGACATTGTCTTATGTTTATCGTTTTGTATTGGAGATATGATGTCCCTTCAGGGTTGCCGTAGAGAAAAGGCGACTTCCGCTTCTGGTCGAGGGGGGGGGGGGCAGAAATAAAGAGAGAAGCTGCACCAGCTGTTGCTCTCCCTGGAGACTACTGGACATAGCTGCGGTAAAGTCAGCAGACACTCAGATCTCCGTGGTCAACTCAGCAGACACTTACATTTTAGTGCACCTATATGCTGAAATTCACGGTAAACGCATTTAAACGGTACAGATCGGGAGCGAGCGAAGGACTTTGAAAGTTAGCAGAAAGATTAACGTGAGACAACATCCGGTTTCTTCAGACGAACATCCGGTTTTCAGAATAAGATGCCAACAAAGTATGAATTCTACTCACATTAAGTATAAAACATGCTACCTGCATCTCGTGAACCAAGTGTTATTGCCCTTTTGTTCATATAGCAGTACTTTTAAGATAAAAGTGCGCAATACACTACTTTTGAATTCATTATTGAACATAACTGCGATTAATCGCAAAAAATCCATGCGATTAATATTAAAAATATTTAATCGCGATTAAATATTTTAATCGTTGCCCAGCACTAAAATATATATATACCAATGTATTTTGGTCCCCAGTTTTTTTTTTGGGGGGGGGGGGTGAATGAGACATACACATGTGTATTGGACAATACACATGCATACACATGTGTAACAGACATACAAAGACAAAAACAAAATCTAAATTTCAGTTACATGTATTCAACCATTATTTTTACAGGGCCATACTGAGACCAAGGTCACGCTCTTATTTTGAAAGATAAATAACATATTGAGTCTTGGGTTTGGGTTTATTGTATGGTTGGTTTCAACACATAAATAGAACACATACTGTTCATGTTAACTTGAAATTACTGAGAACTAAATCACATGATGGTAAATAATATTTGAAGTACTAATGTGGATTCTATTTGGTTTAAAAGCTGCAATTTATGTCACAGCTCTGCCCCTTCTCTCCTGTCTTTTTATTTCTCATTCACCTCACTCACCTATCAGCTCATTCAGTGCACCTGTCAGCCTCCCTCCTCATCAGCACAACTCCCTTCACAAACAAGTGAACCTTTTGCTATGATGGTCGTCTCTCACAGAAGTCCTTGTGTGCTACTGTAAACATGTTGGTAGGATGAGGGTGAAGGTCACAAACGGCCTCGTTGTTCGAGAGTGGAGGGATATCAACGTGAGGCTGAGCCGTGTTTTCTGACAGAGGTTAGATCAGCCTTCTGCTCCCTGTGAGGGAGAATCACTGGTCTCTCTGCTTTACTGCCAACCAGGACAACAAAAAAAACACTTAGTTTGTTTGTTCTTCCCCGCAGAGCCTCGTGTAGTATGTATCGTTGTTTGTTGTTGTGTGAGGCTGCTGCAGGTTGTTGCAGGTTTCTTGTGCTACAAGGCCGCCATCTGCCGGTGTTCGGACGCACCGGTGAGTCACGAAGGCTTCAGGCCGCTCATCGCGCCACTTCTAAAGCCGCTGACGTCACCCAGTTGGTTGAGTTAAGAAACACAAACCAGTTTTGAGGTACCGTACACCGACAGTGCAGCACAAATGAATAGCTTTACCAACATAACTGTCAGAGCTACTTTACATTACAATTTCACTCACAACTATAATTTTTGTAATTTAATATGATCATTTCTGTCTGCATTCACATATTGCTCCATATAGGTGGAAATACCGTACAATTTGTTTGTATTTTCATGTACTTTCATTGATGGTTTATTATTATTCACATTTCAGAGTAATATTGTACTTTATAGTCTACTTTAATTATGTGACAACTGTAGTTGGTTTGATTTTACATTAAAAAAAGAGATCTGGTCAACTTCTAAAATATGACGTCATAGTGAGATGTGAAAAGACCCTGCAGGGCCACACGGTGTAGACCTGCTCGGGTGATAGGTTTTTATATTTTTACACTTTTGATTCATTCCTGCAATTCAGTAAATAAAACAGACAAAGTTCATCATCATGTGTGGAATATGCGTCTAACTCTACAGATATTAACCCACAGAGCGCAGTTATATAGGTGCATCTCAATGAATTAGAATATCATCGAAAAGTTAATTTATTTCAGCAATTCAAAAAGTGAAACTTGTATATTATATAGATTCATTACACACAGGGTGATATATTTCAAGCGTTCATTTCTGTAAATTTTGATGATTATGGCTTACAGCTAATGAAAATCCAAAATTCAGTATCTCAGAAAATTTGAATATTACATAAGACCAATTAAAAAAAGGATTTTTAATACAGAAATGTTGGCCTACTGAAAAGTATGTACAGTATGCACTCAATACTTGGTCGGGGCTCCTTTTACATTAATTACTGCATCAATGCGTCGTGGCATGGAGGCGATTAGCCTGTGGCACTGCTGAGGTGTTATGGAAGCCCAGGTTGCTTTGATAGGGGCCTTCAGCTCGTCGCATTGTTGGGTCTGGTGTCATCTTCCTCTTGACAATACCCCATAGATTATTTCAGTGGTTAAGGTCATTTAGGAATTTGGGGGAGATTCACAAGGAGTGGACTGCGGCTGGAGTCAGTGCTTCAAGAGCCACCACACATCTAGGAGATGGGCTAAAACTGTCGAGTTCCTTGTGTCAAGCCACTCCTGAACCAGAGACAACGTCAGAAGCGTCTTACCTGGGCTAAGTTACCTGGGCTAAGGAGAAAAAGGACTGTTGCTCAGTGGTCCAAAGTCCTTTTTTCAGATGAAAGTCAATTTTGCATTTCATTTGGAAATCAAGGTCCCAGAGTCTGGAGGAAGAGTGGAGAGGCACACAATCCAAGTTGCTTGAGGTCCAGTGTGAAGTTTCCACAGTCAGTGATTATTTGGGGAGCCATGTCATCTGCTGGTGTTGGTCCACTGTGTTTTATCAAGTCCAAAGTCACCACAGCCGTCTACCAGAACATTTTAGAGCACTTCATGCTTCCCTCTGCTGACAAGCTTTATGGAGATGCTGATTTCATTTTCCAGCAGGACTTGGCACCTGCCCACACTGCCAAAAGTACCAATACCTGGTTTAATATCATTGTGCTTGATTTTCCCTTAAAGACTGCTTACATGAGAATGTATCAATAACACTGTCATCTATGTAATAGACGGCCCAAAACGTTGTTTTTTATCCAAATAAAGATTTTTACTTTTGAGCGCAGGAGAATATTTTGTGCAAACAAAATTTTAAAAAAATAAATTCATAAATCCCAAAACAGTCATAACAAGAACTTTAACTTTTGATACTTGAGTACATTTTGCTGGGGTACAACTGTGTAACCAAGTATTTTTTAATGATATTTTTACTAAAGTGAAGGTTCGCAACACAGCTTATGTCATATCTGCGTTTTACTCACTTACACCTTTTAGTTTCTACCTAATGCAGCAAAGCATACTGTACTGTGGCTGTGATGAAGACATCTCTAAATAAAGGCAAAAATCATCAACAACAACAAAAAGGACAAAAAGAAAACATTGCTTTCAATATTTACCCAATACCTTTATTTTTTCTGGAAGGAAACGGCATTTATTCCAGCACGGCAAAACTAAAAGTGATACCAAAAGCAGCAGCAATAATAATAACAAAAATAACACAACAATAGCAGCAATAAGAAAACTGATTCACATACACTGAATTACACTGACAAATATGAATGCACTGACTCGCTGACAAACAAGTACATATGTTCTCATTAATATGCAGCAAAAATAATGTAGCTTCAATATCCAGTGATCAAACTGTTGGAACTTAAAAGAGAAAAAGAAACAAAATGCATAGTTGAATGCTCGTCTGGGAGCAAATTAAATGATGTTCTTCCCAATTATCCCTGTATATGACCTTTAGGTCATATAGTGTATCTGCATTAGGGACTAAGTAAACGTCCATCTCCATCATCTGCTGGCACATGCTGCCACCAGCTGGTCGTCACGTGCAACTACAACATAAATAGGCACATAGTCATAAGACACAGTAAACAAAGAGGCACAGCAGTAACCTGACCAATAGGCTGCAGGTTATATTATAAAGGCTACATTCTGTGAAGCTCTCTGTATCATATAGTAGATATAGGAGCAGTGTGATGCATTTAACATCATGTTTTGAAGGCTTCATGACGTTTAAGGTATAAGAGCAATTGCAGCAATATGGATGTTATTTTTAAGTAGTCTTTGGTGTAAACATTAGTTTACACCTCTGTAAAGATTTGTTAAACTCCCTGATGATTAATAGTATTGGTATAATAAGCCAAATACACATGGCGTCTCATGGCTTTCTTTCCTTTCCAGCAGAATAATTGTTTCCTAATTGCTCGTCTTAACTGTGAGGCACTCGTGTGTTGAAGTTGCAGTCAGCAGCTGCTGTAGCCTTTGGAGAAGTCCTGCCACATGTGCAGCAGCTGGGACGACTTAAACCCGTTCGCGAGGACCAGCTGGGCGAAAGCGCACCTGTCGTACTCGAGCTGTCGAACTTCGAACAGGTTCCTGAAGGTCGGCAGGCTGAGGGAGTACACCGGCCGGACGGCCAGCACCCGCAGGCACAGCCCCACGTAGACGTCTTCCAGGGGAATCAACCTCGTGAACCTGGACGCCCAGGAGATCCTGGGGGCCAGGTCGGCGGAAAAGACGTACCCGGCACCGGACACGTACGGGGGGAAGCTGTCCTCCGGGTACAGCTCCTCCGAAAGGTGCCACTTGCTGCTGCTGTCCCTCCTCGGTCTGCCGTCGCTGATCACCGACCCCGTGATGAAGCCCCGCGCGGGGGAGCGCCTCAGTCTCCTGAGGAGGTAGAATACGTTCACGAAGACGTCCGCGTCCACCTTCATGGCATAGGAGGCGTTCGGGCAGTGGGTCGCCAGCCAGCTCATCATCATCATGGTCTTGATTGTCAGGTTCTGGTAACTGTCCTGGAAGTTCACCTGTACGATGTCCGCGTGTGTCCTGCTCTCCTCTTCTAGCTCGACCTGGGCGCTCGAGCCCCGCCCCCCCTCGGGGAGCCCCACGTAGAACAGAGTGAGGGTGTCCCGACCCGGGGCACCCCAAGTCTTCCTGACGGCCTCCCTTGCCGCGGCCTCCAAAGGGGCTACTGGGACCATAAAGACCAGGAAGGGGGCTCTGGTTCTGTCCCCGCACACAGCAGGCCGGTTGAGAACATACTCGTACGTTTCAGGGGATATGAGCCGGTATTCCTCCGCAGGAAGGGGACTTGGCTTTCGCGGATGTTTACTGAGCGTCACTCGACTCAGTAAGATGTGAGCAGACAGGACGAGCCCGGCTGTAACCGTGAGTAACTTCACTAACCTCCAGAGATAAGTTCTCCTCATTGCCTCAAAGCCTCCTTCACACTCTGTGGTCGTGGTACACCGAAGTCCGAGAAAAGAAGACGCAAAAATCCCGGAAGTGACGCCATGTTTGTGTCGGTATAGAGCAGCTCAGGCAGCGGGAAAGCCCCGTAGGGAAGAACCAGAACACAGCGGGGGGCGTGACTGAACCTAGCCCAGCGAACACATAGGCCTACACGGTGTGCATGCTGCTGTAAGAGCCTCACCTGATTGGTGGATTTCATAAATATTTATGGTAGACACTTTGTGTTTGGAGTTATTGCCTTTCCACACCGCTGCATGGCCAAATCTTACACTGGTACTTGCTCCGTTTCTAACATTTGTTTTAGAGGCGACTGCATCAAATGCCTACACTGTAAAACATCATACAGGAATTACATGAAATCTACTTTTTCTCATTAACGTTGATGTAAATATTTACATTTGATTAATTTCAAGTTATATAGTCTATAAACTTAAAATGATGAGTTGGATGAATGTATAATGGTGAATGAGTGTTCACTCAACCCATTGAATTAACTTTCTAAAGAAATGATCAGCACATAACGCTTTTATAGTTTGAAGGATGGTTCAAAGTGGCTCCAACAGGAGCAGCTGCAGTTGTAAGTTCTTCATTCCAAATGACTAACTGACTTTTCACAAATGTAAACAGAAATCTTTATTGAACTACTTTTCTCAAGTTAAGTTAAGTTAACTCAGATGGTTTTACATTTTAAGTCCTTATACGATTATTTATTTTATTTATTAGACAAATTATTAAGCATAAATTCAGTTAGCTCACATTTAAGGCAGCAGGGGAGCTTGCGTTTTTAAGTTGAATCAGCTTAAAATGATTTACAGCGATATAGAATTAGACATGGATGTGAATATTAATTTATTTCTTGTCCGAATGTGATGATTCAAGGAGAGTCCTGCAGTCTCCGTTTTCGTAAATTTAGAATTCCTCAGTAAGAACTCAGTAGCTACTGGCGGGGCTTACTTGCTTTAACGAGGCACACAAAGGGTTAATACTCAACTGAGCAAACTGTTTCCAGTGAGGAAGACCCTGAGATGTGATTGAAATTCTGGGGGGAAAAAAGCCAGAAAGTGGACCTTGAGTCAAGACGTGAAAAACTAAAATGCTGGAGCATCTTCTTTTTAAACAAACTGTTTTATTGTAATACAGCTTACAGAGAAACACCTGTTGTTCATCCAGTTATAAACAAACAAAACAATAAAAACAAACTTAATTTACACAGGCATTCTTTAGAAGGTAGGTCAGTGGTTTAGTATGCCGCTGTAGAAGGGGCTGTGAGAGAGAGAGCGGGGGGGGGGGGGGGGGGGGGGGGGGGGGGGAGGGGGGTAATGAAGGGTAGAAACAGAAATGAGTTCTCTAGTTTTGGCCTGTTCAAACACTATTCTCATCTACATAAGCATAGAGACCTTGCTGTGTCCAATAGAAATTCAATTGGAATTTGCTGTTTCTTTTTCATGTTTTGAGCATCAACATCTTTAGGGTCAACCTCACAGAATGGTCTCTTGTTCCACATATATGTATTGTATTCACATTTTACAAAAAAAAAAATATCATCACCTTGTTTCATTTTATACTGAATAACAGGTCCTGCCTCGGATTCACAAGAAAAACGAAACAAATGGAAACACATCAGCTGTTCTTTTCTCTGTTCTTTACAATACTGTGGCTGTAGCATGATGCCTTCAGGGGCTTACATGATGAATGGAAACATTGCCATCCACGTCGACATGGGATGTGGCGGGTAAAATACTTTTCCATACAATTCTTTTTTTTCTTTTTTTTCATTTCCATCTCTATCGCATCAGATGTTTGCGGGAGATAAGGGAACCTGGGGAGGATAAAGTGACACTGAGACGAGTTAAGCACAAAGACAATCAAATGGCAAGTTAGACGGAGGTATCGGACATCTGAGCAGTGCCATCTGAGGAACATCCCTTTTCAAATGTTTAAATCTGACGCATACGTGTACAGTGCTGTACAAGGAATAGAATTTCTATGATAATCCAGTTGAATTATCACTATAATCGGCCCTGAACCTAAACAAGCCCACATTGTACTATAAACAGTCTGTCCTTTCTGTAAAACCCCAAATGTGAAATAGGGAACTGTATTAATCTGTACACAACATAATGCCCAAGCTGCACAGTCGCCTCCCCGCAAATGCCGCAACACAAGAGAAAGGATCGGAATCAGGGGGGATGGAGTTCTTGCTCTCTTTGGTGCGTGAGTAGGATCTGCGTGGGCTTGATTTAAGTCCGGTTCGTAACATGCACATCTATTTCCGCACCGGTAGCATTTCCACAACCGTATCACAGGGGAGGTTATGGAGTCGAGGCTGATCTGTGAGCGAATGGGGGGAGGGACGGTGTGTTGTTTTTTTTGCGTGAAGGCAGCAGGGCTCTTGGCAGTGGCTTTGGTCGCTGCAGGGTGTGTTGGGTGTGGGAGTCAAGGTGGTTTATGGGGAGTCCAGACGGAGTAGTAGCAGTGTTGTTGTTGGTATTGGTGTCGGTGGATCGTCTATGACCGTTTCCTCCTTCCCTCCAGGTTCCTAAAGTTGGACGGCCTGATCTTCATCTCAGCGAACTCGATCGAGTGCTCGTGGCCTTTCCAGTGGAACCAGTTCACACCCTAGAGGGGAGGAGATGGGCAAAGGATGTTGGTCAAAATAGAAGTTCAAGTGTGGGTCAAGTCATGTTCCTGTCATGACGTGACTCAAACTACAGCCAAAGCAACCCTATCGCCACACAAGAACAGCGATATCAGACAATTTTTGAAAACCTCAGATTACGTCCAATTTTACTACAATGGTTTCTTTACTCTATTTCCTGGCAATTTAAATAACAACTCGAAACGTGCACTCACTAGAGTGCCGATCTTCACCAGGTGTGTCTCCTTCTCCCCCCTCCCCAAAAAAAGAGTTGAATCTCACTCAGTTGTCCCACCCGGCTCGCTTAGTCAAGATGGTGGCAAATATAGCAATAACAATGTGCGAAACTAATGTTGATCACAACATATCAGGTATGGAATTAATCTACAGATGCTCTGGTTGAACATGAGACCAAACATTTCAATAGATAGCCGAGAAAAAGGCCAAAATGTTGCCTGTAACAGACTAGTGGTTTTATCTTGCTGTAAATGAGCACACAATATTATTATGCTGATGGATCCAGTAGTATGCGAGACAAATCGCAAACAGACAGACGCACACTAAATATGACCGAACGCATGATCTCTCGACATTAAGCCTGCCGGAGACAATAAAATTAAACCAGTGGAACTCCCTCAGCGATCAGTAGAACCGCATGAAAGATCCTCAGAATCCTGTCAAGGACTAATGAAACTCAAACATCAAAGGCTCTCCAAACCCTCTAAAGGACTCTAGGAGCCTATTCAAAGACTAGTAAAACCCTCTTAAGGACCCCTGGAAACCCTTCAAATTCAGCTGAACCCTCTTCAGGAATCCTGGAACACTCTCGTCTCAAAAACTAATGGAACTCCATCAACTGTCCTAAGTGACCCCAGGGAGCCCCTCAGGGAGCCTAATTCTTGAATCAATTTCCAATTAAGGACATACAGTAACTGCACTGTAGACATACTGTACCTTGCTGTGACTGTTATCTCCATATCGTCCCATAAGGTTGACACGGTGGCAGTTCTTATACCAGAAGGCTCCCTTATAAGACAGGGCACAGTTGGTGACAGCGATGTCGTTATCATGGTCGTAAGTGGAGAACGGACGCCCGTGGTGGTAGGTCATAGAGTCACCTACAAAGACACACACAAGGGAGAGAGGGTTGACTTAACTGTTTCTGTTACATTTATGTAGCAGATTGACACTGTAATAACACTGCAGATCCAAACTGCACTACCTGGCCACTACATGCACAAAAGGATACAGTACACTTCGCTAGTATGTTGGAATATATATTTTATTTCAGATGTTATTATTTTCAAGTTAGACTTATTTGTTCATGACGAAATGAGAGTGTTCCAAGAAAACTCTTAATGAATAGTAATAATAAAAATAAATGAAATACTGAATTTAATTCTTGAAAGAAAACCTTTTAGAAAGGGGTACCAAGACAAGTGTACACTGAGCAGCAACCCCCGTTTCTTTAAAGTGAAGCCAATACAGAAGCGTAAATTATTATATAGTAAATTATGGTCGCTATCACGGAGTTGTCCGGACAGGGAGTTGTTTTCGTATTAAAACTTTAACCCTTTCACAGTGTGTTTTTCCTTCATGAAATTGAATTGTAACCTTTTAGTCGCCTAAAATTGTCTTTTGCAACATTCGGTTTTATTTCTACCCTAGGAAGTAGTTACACCCTCTCGTGTCACTTCTGGTTCCAAAAAACAAGATGGCCACGGCCAAAATGCTGAACTCCAGGCTTCAAACGGCCACTTTTTATAAACAGTCTATGGTGTTCCCCTTTAAATATATTAAACAGTGGCAGCTGGTGGAAAATGTTCTAGGTAGGGCTGTGCGACATCCAATCAATTTCAGCAAACATCCCAGTATGATTTAATGCCATAAATTTAAGGTATCAAACACATATTACTACTTTGCAGTTAAATATTTAATATTTATTCCAACACGAAAAGAAGCAGTAAATAACACTTTGACAAACACGTCAGGACATCGTATTTTTGTCACCCTCACAGGCAATTCAGTATAATAATATAATATATATATCATATAATAATATTCAGTATAATATAATGATATATATATATATCATATAATAATGTTCACTATAATATAAAACACATACACACATATCTATATATAATTATTTATTTATAACTATATATCCATTTCTTAGACAGGTGCTTCATGTCCCTCACTTCCATAACTGTCCATGCTGGATCTGTCCCCGTTGTTTTAAAAAGCTAAATAAGTTATTAGCATGACTGCATCCAGCTAGCCAAACGTTTCTGGTGTACCAGCTACATTCCCTTTCCTGCTAGTCTGCTGTCTGATTGCGAGGTCAGCCTGATCTGGGATAAGCTCTTTCACCTGTAATTTTTCCGCCAAAGTTCTCCTCTCAAACGGGTCTTGGAGGAGAAGTGCTCGCGCTGGCGCTCGCGCTCGCCTGTAGAGGCAGCCCCTGACGAGAACGCGCAATTTGGGGCGATACAGATTCTGCCCCAAACTGATTGTATTTGAGGACGCTGATTGGCTAAATTGTATGTCACACATTTATATCTTTAATCAGCAATTGGCTAAACTGCTTCATAGACCCGCCTCCTGTGGGCGATTTCTCCAGTGCCCCAGCTCTGCTGAGACATGCAGACAGGCAGAGAGGACATGCAGGGAGCATATATTTTTTGCAGATATCTTATTTTACACTTATTACTGGGTGCATTCCATAATTCAAAAACACAAATATTGACAATTTGTATAATTTATTATTATTATTTAAATTTTTTTTGTGGCTCAAGGGGTGCGGCGCCCTAGCGCCCTCTATTGACCAGCCGCCACTGATATTAAATCTAAATAATGAGAAATTCAAAGTACATTTGACACAAATAATGTAAAAATGGACCAAATTAGACAAAATGGACAAACTCCAACTCTTCACAGAACAATAACATAGGAAAATAATCTATCAATAATAATCTATCAATCTATATCTATTATGTAAGATAACAGTATGCTACACATAGAAAATAGTCCCTGACAAATGTACTTATAAAATTTTGAGAACACAATGAGCAGCCTTTTTAGGTAACTAAAACCCATGGTTTTTACTTTTTTTAAGACAACAAAAATTCATGAGAGTTCATGTCAGAGTGCCACAGACATAACAGGGAAGTCAAAGTATTGAGATGGACATGTTTGGCTGCAGGCCACAGTAGTCAACTTTACCTGCTGTTCCACTGTATCCTCCCACGTGGACTTTGTAGCGGGACCGAGGTTCAGAGATAGAGAACTTGTCGTACTGAGCGTGGGCTGTTTCTCCCTTGTCTCTCAGGTCCACTCGCAGCTCGTACTGACCTCCAGCTGTGATCTTATGCAGGTTGGAAAGACCTGAGTGAGAGAGATTGTATATAAGATGGTACGGTAGTTCAGTGAAGGCTCTGATAAGATATTATCAGATAATACATTATATATATACACTATATATATATATATATATATAGATATATATATATATATATATATATATATATATAGATATATATAGATATATATATATATGGTGCAAACTTCCTTGGCAATAAACGGTTCTGATTCTGATAACTCAAGAAATATATCATAAATATGGTTAAATAATATCTGATGGGTGATAACTGTAGTTGTATTCTAGCTTCAATGTGTATCTATTTCCTTCAATATGTTTATTTAAAACAATAACAAGTAGAAATGTGCACTCAGTAGAGATCTCCATCAGGCATGATGTTCCCTCCCGACTCCCTTCCAGTCAAGATGGCGGCGGAGATAACAAAAACAGAGATTTATCCATCTCGGATCGTGGCTTACTTTAGCGGATCATTACCCATCAGGTATGGAATAAATCTGCACATGCTCCGGTTCAAAGTGAGACCAAACTTTTATTTGGATATCAGCTTTTGTGCCAACACTAAGGCCAAAATGTGGCCTGCAACGGGCTAAGGCTCGTTTTTAGCTTAGCCGTTGGTACTGAAGCAGTTGGTGATCACTTGCAGCTCCTCCCGGCGGGTTAGGAGTTGTCAGGAGTCAGCAGCCGATGACGTATTAAAAAAAAGTGAGAATCACCACAAACGAGCAGAAAAAACGTTAGGCTTATGAGTCCAGCTGTGTGCGAAATTAGCCGTGGACAGACAGACAATCACACACACACGCGCGCGCGCGACCGAACACATGATCTCCCCACAGGCTAACACCTGGCAGAGATAATTATTATAATGACGTTAATCAATGCAGGACTTTTACAGAGTCTGCTCAAAATCAATGGAATGCAATGAATATATAATCACAATAAGGATGCCACTGAAACACTGGATGTTATCCATTTTGGAGAAATCACCTCAATTGCTAGCAAGACATATTGATCATATCACCATATCCTTGTGTTATCCACTGTGTTGTGCCCTGATTTTTTTGTGTTTTTTACCCAGCCAGAATTCATCATTCATGTCACCGAAGCCGGCTGTGTAATTCTTCCAGTTGCGGAAAAACTCCAGTCTACCACTCTGTCGTCTGAGGAAAACCTGACAGATAAAGACAATAGGTCACTTTTATATGAGGGCTTTCAAAACAAAATGAGAATTAATAATATGTGTCCCTGACTTACAATCCATCCGCCTCCATCAGTGCTCATGTCGCAGTAGACCTGGATCGGCTGGCTGTCATCTCCACCCAGATAGATGGTATACAGGTCTGATGTGGTGTCGCCGTTCAGTAGGGCCTGAGAGCAGTCCCTGGGGAATCGGTACAGTACGCCAGCTACGAACACAAAACACAGGATACGATTGAAAACTCAACAATGTGGCCTAGACACAATCTGTAACCAGGCGTAGTCGATGGAACCTCATACTGCTGATATATGTCTGGTCTTTGAAACCAAAGTCAGACAAATGCCACTTCTCTGCTGAGGGAAGATGTCCAGGCCGACATTACTGTCTTTAAGAGGCTGTAGCAGGGTCCGCTTTAAAGCTAGAGTAAATGAAACCTGAAGATATTGGTATCATGGGAAAATAGACGACCCTAGAATACATTGGTAGCACGTCATGCTAGCTTGTCGGGAAGAAGGTTAAATAACGCTCTAAAACAAATTCTTCAAAGGGGTCCCTTGACCTCTCACCTCAAGATAGGTGAATGGAAATGGGTTATATGGTACCCATGAGCCTCCCCTTTACATACAGTACATGCCCACTTTGTGCTAATCCCATGCAGTTTGGGGCAAACATTATCCAATTTCATTTTTTGCCAATTCTGGAAATAGTGTATTTTAATATTTTCTGCATGCTGGGGTACCTAAACAATCTCGGAATTACAAAAAGCTTAAACTCTTGTGTGCGCAATGAGTCTAGTAGTATTCATGTGTGAGGATGTTAGTCGCCATAGTAGCCATTTCACACAGTGAGATACATTTTTTTAACTTGAAACTTCACTGTATAAATTGACCTGTTGTGACTTCTAGGATAAGCACAGCCTCGTGAAACTTTACAACCCCAAACTATAGACCTAGAGCATTCAGAGGATGTTTGGCTCTCCTAGATATATCGACAATAAGGAGGTTTCTGGATAGTTTCCAGAAGCTCACCATCCAATTGCTGAAAAAATGCGAAAAATGATTGCAGAAATCTCTAAATGTCAAAAGTTTTTCATACCAAATCATCACATGACTTTTTTTATAGTGTTCCTCAAGGTCTTGGTGACTGTGTGTGGTATTTTTTTAAATAATTATAATCATAAATGTATAAATATAGCAGCAAACCTGTGTTATAAATGGTATCAACCCATGAAGAAAAGATGTAATGTAAAGTACACACAGCCCACACAGGGACACAGCTAAAATCTGTCCCGTGTGTTTGAGTCCACTCACTGGTGGTGAAGACAGTAGTGATGACTCTGCTTCTCTTTGGACCAGCAATGGCCTGCAGCTTTACTGAATACTCTGTTGAGGTGCTGAGCTGAGCCATGGTGTAGGAGACAGCAGTGGGACTCAGGACCACCTCCTGAAAGAGAAGCACGTTCAGATATTTTATTCCCAAACACATTTTATAGATTGAATGTACTTCTGAATCTGTGGAGTTCTGGTGTCTCTACTCACACGGATGGTGCCGTCTGCAGCCTCGAAGCTGAGGATGTAACCCGTGATGTCAGCGCGAGGTGGCTTCCAGGTCAGCATGCCGTTCTCTGTCTGGATGTTACTGGCTGCCAGGTCCTGAGGGGCGTCCACATCTAAAAACACAAAAGCCTTTTAAATAATTTCATATGTTTTAAGATATTAATTTTCCTGTCAGTTGCACTTTCTCTGTGCCGTTTTATACTTTAATTAATGGAGTCCGGTAGCTTTGGCGAGAGCATTGATAACATCTTCAATGCCCCGTCGGAAATGGACTGTAGAACTGTCTCACGGCAAGGTAAAGCGGCCTTTTTAAATGATGACAACATCGGGGAATTTTTTATGTGGTTTGGTAAAGAGCTCCAAAGAAAGGGGGCAACAAATGTTAGCCCAGGTTCTGCAGTTGGTCCTAGAGATATCTGCAGGCCTCCGTCGGAGGTGGCAATGTTACAGAGGTTGAAGAAGGCTGTATTGGTGATGTGGTAGACATGGGTTAGGAACTAAAGGGTGGGGTCAAATATGACTCTACGGTTAAGGAGTTAGGTGGAGGGGGTGACGATGGAGCCATCAATAGCGAGTATGAAATCCTGAGTTGGGCGGGTTAGAGAGTCAAGGCCGATAATTAGGATTTCAGACTGTAGAGTTTCAGACCTACTACTGTAGGTCTTACACTGATTACACTGACAGAGGTCGGCACACCATCAGTTTGAAGAAGCAGAAATGAGTACCGTTACAGCAGCAAAGCAATGTACTGCTGTGGACGAGAACTTCAGCAAAAATGTATTTCAGCCACCTAAAATGAAAGCTGACTTTATAAAATCAATATCAGTTTTAGTTTATGCTTTATATTAATGAAACTCCATTGAAAAAAACAATGATTTAACCTCGCAGCACACAGAGGCTGCTGTTCTACCACTGCCTCAATTAATTAGTTTGTTATTTTGTTTGTGTTTTTGTGTGACTTTGTTTAGTTTGTATTCACCAAGGTGTCTGGTGGCTTTTGCGAGAGCATAGATAACGGCCTCAGTTCACCGGTGGAAGTCTAATATTCTAAATATAGCGATTTGCTGAGATGTCGTCAACAGCAGTACATTGCTTTGCTGCTGTGCCGGTGCAACGCCTGAAAACGAATATCACGTGACTCTTCACATACACTGGGCATGCGGGTGGGTGCAGATGTAAACAGGAAGTAGATTGATTGCCTAGTTAAAAAAAATACGACAGAGTAATAAAGTAGTCTTTAATAATGAAAGGTCGTGTTTGAGACTTAAGATCTTCTCTAAAATCTTCCTCTATAAACTCAAACAGACACATTTCTTGGAAAGCTTTAGAAGTTTTTTTTGTCAGACTTAACGTTAGTTACAGTGCTGCGGGTCTTGCTCTATCGCTCTCTCTCACACATCAAATTTACTTTAAAATCAACACTTATACATAAAGGTTTACTAGATTATGGGTCCATAAATGTGGTCAACACGTCTCTCACTCGTTCCCTCTCGGTTTCGTTGTTGTCTGTTCTCACTTGTAGCTCTGCTGGTGGCTTAACTATCTGTCCTACTGCTTTTGTTCCTTTACATTTTATCTGCGGACTTCACAATAGTTGTGCAGAACAAAATAAGCATTAATAACGACAGGAAAGTCCTCCGTTTTGTGTCCATCACCCTCCTCAAAGCCGCTAACCGTGACTTCAGACGGCCGCTCCGTAGGGCTGATAACACCGCTGGACACGCCACTCACTAATCGCTCCAATAACAGCTGCTACCTCCGCAGAAATGCAGACTTTAACTGAACAACAGCTGCTAGTAAAGACAACAAGGTCAGCAACAGCTGTAATCAGTTGTCCATGTTAAATTAACCTGGTAGTCGATCGGTAATCAATGTTTTTGTTTATGAATTCCGGAAACGGTCACGTGATTTGGGTGTGACGAATCAGTGAAGGACACGTCATGACTGCTAAGAACCAATTAAGTAGCGAACGTGTTTTTGACCGTCCACGCGAATACGCAACCCCGGCATTTTCAAACTTATCCGTCCTCGGGAGTGTTTTCAAAGTCCTCCGTTTTCTGTGCTCGAAAACGCCGGAGTAGTGTGGACGCTCAGTGTAAACGTAGCAAAACATATGCGTTTTCAAATGGAAACAGAGTAGTGTGGACGTGGCCTCAGTGCCATGTTTGCGCGGAAACCAGACCGAAAAATTAGGTCATTGGAGTCACGGTGGGATTTGATCTGATTGGCAACGACTCTCCAGTTGACGAAGGGCAGGTTGAAAACGTGCCGGTAGTTATTGGGGGAATCAGGATCAAGTCATGATCAAGGTTTGGGTGAAGAGTTGGCAAAGTGTGAAGAGACCAACGTACCTTGTTACAACGGTTGGTATGATATCCTATGAAAAGTTGCTCCTCAATTTTTTTTTTTACATTTTCCTACCAAAGTCAGCATCACGTGTCAAATAAACTTCCGTCTTCACAGGAAACCACTTAGGTTTAGGCACCAAAACTACTTAATTAGGTTTAGGAATAGATTGTAAAATACTTAGTTAGGTTAAGGGAATAAAACTACTTAGATAAGTTTAGGAAACGCTTGTGAACTACTTAGTTCGGTTTAGGCAAGAAAACTACTTAGGTTTAGGAATAAATGAAGTTAGGGTCAGGTTTGGGAAAAGATTGGCGTTTGGATTTAAAAAAACACGCAAGGTCCGTCAATGAAGTACGCAACTTACATGAACAAAGACAACGTTGATTTCTATCAACGGTGTGAATGAATTCCTCCTCTTGGTTATCTCGCACTCAACATGCACTTTTGTTTCAGTTTAAAATATAGTTTGTAGCTACAATGAAAAGTCCACTTGACTGCTTGGCTGCTACTTTGACTGTACTTGGCAAATGGCTGTTTGCTATTTAGTTTTATTCAGTAAAGCTCCAATCAGCTTTAAGGAGGCAGGAATCCTCACCAGTGGTAAACTCGGTCGTAGTGGCCGCACTCTTGGCCATGTCCCTCACAGCGTACACCTTCACAGTGTAGTGTGTGGCCGGTGTCAGAGAACTCATGTCAAACTCCACCACGTTTCCCGACACACGCTCCATCACTGGAGCCACTGGAAGGACACAAACAGGCAGGCCTTAAAGTAGCACATCAAGAACAGACATGCAAGGTAGGAGGCTGAATGTAAAAAAGGAAGCAGACTTGTTTCTGATGTCTCTGACTGATATCACTCTTTTATTTTAAAATGAATGTTGGGATATTGGTCATGTTGTCTCACGCTGACACGATCAAAATGCCTCCCCGAGGATCATCAGTTCAGCACCTCAATCATGATTCAACAATGGAACCGTAAAAGCAATTTCATTTGCAATAAAATAGTTTTTTTCTGTACAGCATGTGTGATTTTTCATATATCTATATGTATTGTATGTGTTGCACATACAATACATATTGTATGTGCACACACATGCATGTGTGCACTAGGTACCTGAGTCTGCACTATAGGTGATGACGTAGCCGTCTACGATTGCGATGGCGGGCTGCCAGAGCAGCAGAGCTTCGGTGTCTGTGATGTTGATTGCAGTTAGACCACGGGGCTTATCCAGAGCTGTAAATACACACACACACACACACACTGAACTGCATCCCTGTTGATGGAGCTATTGTGGTGGAATGCTGCTGCCTAAACACAAATTACTGTAAATGTGTTGGATAAAAAAACACTGTCACCTTGTTACAGATGAATTTTAGATAAATATTTGCTTTTTGTACTTGTTAGAGACCACATCATTTTTCTTCCATCAGTTTTTTTGTCTTATCAGTGCTGCATGTGTTGCTGGAATTGTTCTAAGTGATTGTTGTGTAATACATTCATTAAGGCAAGACACTACAGGCAAAAACATTGTTTTTGTCTTCCTTCAGTCTAGTGGGAGGAAAACATCGAAAATACACATTTATGTGTTTATTTTCCTACTTTGTCTATTTGCGTCTGTACATTTCTCCAAAAATCACCAGAAGTGCCTAATTTGCATATTAACATATCAGTCAACTTGTAATACAAGAAATAATTGTCTTAATGTGAGTAATCAACTGGGGAAGATTCATCTTGATAATCATTAATTCATTTTTTTATCCTATTCACCTGTTGTGTCCTCAAAATGTCTGAATTAGTTATTTCTCAGACTCTGATCCAGAAATCTCTACTTCAGTAGCTGTTACGTACACCAAACTTTACAGTTTCATTCCTCTCTATATTCTAAAGGTTTTTACAGAGGGCTTTGTACAGATATGGCTTTGTTCAGATATCATTCATAGACTGATTTATGCAACATTTTATTATTAAAAACATGGAGAAATGTTAAGGCTGTTGACAGTATTTTCAGATTTTAAGGAGTGATACAAATAGATATCTAAAAGTTCCCTCTGTAAAAACCTTTGACTCTAATATGTCAACAAAAGGAAATAATTTTGAAGCTAATATAATTCTTCATTTATATGTAGCCTTTAGATAATGAATGTGTATGTTCCACATAAGTCTTACCTGTGGTGACGCTGTCTGATCCAGGCTCACTCTCCTTTTGACCCTTGATAGCGACGACAGTGACCTCATAGGTGACCCCGGGGGTCAGGTTGGGCAGCACAGTCTGAGACTCAGAGCCGTCCACTGTCAGCGTCTTAGCATTACCTGTGAGTGGACACAACAAGTCATCTGGGTCAATATAATTAAGATATTAGAAGGTTATTTCATGACCAGATTTTTTTTCAACATGACCAGATTTTTTTTCCACTCAGAAGAATCATTGCACATTTACAGTTCTTTATAGTCAACCGAGACAATATGAAATGTAAACAATATAACGGATTTGATTATTAATGGTTGTTTTAAGCATTTTTGTGTTACCCATATACACTACAATGTGTTGTTTTTACTCCAATGTTGAGACATTTTAGCAGTTTTGTCTCTATATTAGTATAGTATAGTATAATTTTACAGTTGTTTCAAAAGGACTATCTGTATATCATTTACCCACCTTGAATTCTTGAAGAAAGCTTTGTTTTCCTAACATTGCTCCACAACAAACAGAGAATTAAAAAAAAAGTGAAACGTCTTGATGAATGAAAGCAAATGGGGGCCATGTTTAACAAAAGCAAAACTAATGCCCATTGAGTTCAATTCATCAAGAACTTTTTTCCATTTATTGATTCTTCTTTGAGAAAGTTTTTTTCCAAGAATTCAAGGTAACACATAGTGAGTTACTGATACGCAAATGGTGATTGTTTTTGGGTGAAGTATTGCCTTAAGGCCAATTAGGGATCTGATATCCTCCAAGCAGAGTTTCTTGAATCCCACAAAGCCGATAATTAAGTGACTTCATCTCAAATGTAGAACCCATGGTTGTAAGTGACTCATGGAAAGAACAACTAAGCTTTATAGCTTTCTACTCTTAAAGTGAAATATCAAAAAATTAACTTAAATATGGACTTGATAGTATCTTTAATGATTACTGGTTGTATAACAAACTTGTGTTAATAACTGAAAGGACATACTCGGCTGCCTTTTTATGGAGCATTTTTTAATGATGACTAGTATCTACAGAGAGTAAGGTCGACATAGATATGAACTGATATTTAAAAGATGAAAAAAAAGATCTTCTCTATCTCTGTTACCTGGCAATTTATGAGGGAACTTGACATTTATGTATTTATTAATCTAATCTGCTTAGTTATGGGTGCAAAATTCAAATCTTCATTACAGTGGGTGCTGGATCTGAAGGGGCTTTACATGCAGCAATCACATTGTAATGGTTCTTTACTTTTCCCCCTTTGAACTGAAAAATAGAAGATTATGTTTGATTTTTAAAAAAATATTTTTTGATGATTATTTCAATTTGCTCTGGTGCCACTCCCTCCCTTCTTCAGTGGAAGTACCTATATAACTAGTCACTAGGGGGCAGAAGTAGTCTATCATTGGAGAAAAGAGTTCTCCCAGCAGATGATGGAGGATTAAACTGATTGATAGGTCAGCAGTGAGAATGTCCATACAGCCTACAAAGCCACTCAAGACCTGGAATATACTTATCTGGTAGGAAGAAGGTTAGCGCTCCAGGTTAAATCTTTATGTTGTAAATGCTTTCTTCCTCCACCTTTCTTTACAGTTTAGTTTCAACTTTTTGTTTCATGACAGTGCTGCAATAAGTGGCCAGTTCCTCCCTGTTTCAGTAGTGAATCAAACGTAAGCACACTGACCTCCATGAGCAGGCACATAAGTCACCCTGTTGTTGTCCACCCGAGCCTTTGGAACCACCCAGTGGACTGTGGCGGACGTGTCGGTGACGTCGGAGAAGCGGATGCCCTTGGGCGAGCCCAGGTCTGGCACAAATAGAACAGACACAGCAGGTAGGGGCAAACAGAGACACAATGCGGGTTTAATTCATATGTGCACTGCCTTCTAAGACTGGTGAGGACTGGAAGTATGCCATTTACATACATTTTCTGCTTCACAGTTAACAGCAGACAACAGAAGACACATTATTTACATGTTATTGTAGCCAACCAGATCGGATACAGTTTTTTTAAAAGAATAAAGTGAAAGAGAGAGTGCGTAGGAGAGAGCAAGGTGGAACAGACAAAAGGGGCGCCTGGGGAGGCCCGGGCTCGAGGAGAGAGACCCTTCCTGGCTAACCAGCGAGCCACAGTATCTTGCGTGACAGACCCGAGGAGATTAACTTGCCCCCATTTCATGGCAACACAAAAGTGAAACATGCGCCACGCAACCCAAGAGTAAAGCCTCACCCCCAGGGAGGACAGGAGACACAGCCATAGACACCCGTTCTATGTGACACAGACAACTGCTCCCCCTCACACACACACACACACACACACACACACACACTTTACAAAGAGCGACTCCAACACATGGGGCCAGGCAGTCAAAGACAACATTCAGGAGGACCGGACGGAGACGACACAATGAAAGAAGCAGAGTAAAGAGCTGAGTAAATGTCTTGAGTGGGGGTCGACTTATTATTCGTTTTCAAAGCATTTTCTGATAGTTCTGGGTTGAAGCTGATCTGCTTATACCTGCAGATATTTGGCAACTTTAAATCGGATAATTTTTAATAAACAGAATCATTAAAAGATCCAAAGTATTGAGAACACCACAGGATCCTAAATTCTCCACTAGAACCTGGAAAATACTACAATAATAATACATTATCAATATAGCTGCTTCATGTCCATCAGATCAGACCGGCCAAGGCACATTTTTAAAACAAGGTTGATAAGTAAATACATATCTCGGTCTAATTCTGATCCAGCAGCAGTTCGGGGGCCCTGAGATTAGCAGCCCTGAAGCTGGTCCTTCTGATCCCAGAGTGTGTTCTTGGACATTGCTGATTGTGATGACAGGCCTTCTGCCGCTGTCTGCTGGAACCCCTCTGGAGCATCTGACACAACGCAACCAGAGCTGGTCGTCATCGTTAAAAGTGATTATTTTCTTAAGATAACCTTTTTGATTTTGTCAAATTGCAGTCTTAAGGGCCTTGGACGAGTACAGCGCCATGACGCTTTGATACCAGGTTAGAAGACAAAAACACAAACATGTATTAATGACCATGTTTTCATGCTGTTACCACAAAAAGACAAGTCTGACAAGAGATGACGTGAATGCACATTGACCACGCTGACAAGTTCCCCTGATTTCTCATTTTCCACCCGTTCACCGTGTACCTGTTCTCACCCCCTCCTCTAAAGACTTGGAGCGTCTCCCCAAAACGAGCCCAAAGATTTCAACTCTGTACTCGGTGTCCTCGGTGAGATCTGTGATGGCCGAGCTGCGCTCCTCGCCGCCCAGCACCAGCTCGCTCGGCTGGCCCGGGCCCTCGGCCTCGCTGACCATCACGACAAAGGTGTCGAAGGCGTCCTCTTCAGCCGTCCAGGCCAGCCTAAAGCTTTCAGTGGCGACATCGGAGACTAGGAGAGCCTTCACCTCTGGTTCGGCCTCTGAGTGACAGGGAAAAGTCAGTTTTGCTCCTCTGTGGAACTTAAGAGTGCTTTGACATTTGAAGGAACATGGCAGCGAAAGAGTGTGTTCATGTCTTTGTGTAAATGCCAGCATTGGTTATATGGAAGCTCAGCATCAGTCAAGAAATAAAGAATGGAAAGAGAAGAGTTTCACCGTATATCTGGTGAGAAACACAGAAGGAAGTTGACCCATCAAAGCCACGGTGGTTAGTAAAATGAAAATCGGATACAGTTAAGATTGTGAAGGAAATTTTAGTAAAATAATATATTTCTCTGACTTAGGCTACTAAACTACTGTTTGAACTTGGGGGGTGGGGATTCAATATGCAATCTGAAATGATGCCTTTGAATTAAAAGATGTGCATTTCTGTTCATATTTCTGTCTAACTAAGTCGTTTTGCTGTGTTAAGCTAAATTGTTTCCGTGGTGGCGGAACATCATTTTAACACACTATGTGCCTCCACCATGTAATAAGCTGTAACAAGGTTGTTGTCATTTCTCTGAGATCACGTTGCAATATGCCATTGATTGAAGAAATGTGAATAAAAGTAAGTCTGCGTCTTACATTAACATTAGCTTGTCACTGCGAGGCAGTGGAGGCACCACGAATAAAGGTAAACTTAAATGCCTGGTCACACCAGTAAGTGGCCAAATAAATATTCAAGTCTTTGTGAAATAATTTGCTCTAAAAGATTTACTATTATTACCACTCATAGAGCTAGCTGCTGTACTGCTGTAGCTGAGCTAACTGCTGAACACTGAGCTAGCGATAGTCAGTCACAATAGCTTGAGCAAGCTCTGAGCTTCTCTTTTTTTCCTCTATAACGGGCGGTTTACTCCTCCTGGGCTTTTTGTATATATCATTTAGGTTTGGTTATTCACGATTGGATATACAAGCTTGCTATCTAACTTTTTTACTTTTTTTTTTCAACTGACAGTTGGCAAGCATGTTTTGTGGCTAACAGGGCAGTGCATTTACTAGGTTTATTCAAAAGAACCATTTCTGTTTTGTGGAGCAGTTTATACCGTGACAGATTTACTGAGCACCTACAAGCGAATCCACTAATCGCAATGATTCCCTTGGAGTCAATTGATTCCGATGTCCTTATTTCTGCTAAAAATTGTAGGTTAGGCAACGTAATTCAAATTAAACAAATGACATGATTCTTCAAAATTATTTAAAACTTTGAAAAAGTAACATCCGTGGTCTGACCCATCTCATTCTTGTGCAATTCCTAGGGATTACAAAGTAAAAGAGGCTTTGTCAAACTACAGCTGCTTCTCTTAGAACAATGCTCAAATACAGTGCAGTGCAGACATCTCTGCAGATGGGAGTGTGTGCATGTGGTGCAGTAAAAGCTGGTAGTTACGCAGTCATTAGCAGCAGCTAATAATGGAAGTGATAGGAAGAGAGGCTGAGAGACAGCAGGAGTCTACAGCTGGTGGAGAAAAAGCTCAGTTTCTCCAGAGAACGAGTCCACTGAAGCTAATTAGCTGGATAAACTTCCGGTAGCAGCACAGATGGATCCATGGACCAGACAGAGCTTTTAAAGCAGCCGGGATAGAAGCAGATATAAGTGGGCTCAGGAAAGCCTCAATAAAGCCCAGAGCCACTGCTCATTAAAATACTGCACCAAATGTGAGGGTCTCAGGGGTCCTTGAACTAGCCTGAATCCTCTTTTTTTTTTTCATTGTGAGGGAAAACGCATGAGGCATTTGTTGTGAGGAGAAGCGGTGAAATGAGAAGCAGAGCAGACAAATCCCAGGGAGCTGTCACTCTTCATTAACCGCCGGGCAGCTTTAGCTGGTCAGTGGAAGAGAGGGAGGGCCGCATCCATCAGCTAACATGTGCTAGCTTGCTACTGATTTCACCCTCCCACCACCACCACCACTCCTACCCCCCCCCCCCCAAGACCTGAGGGAACACAATCCCCGCTCACAGAAGTGAGCCTGTTATTGGAGGAGGTGCGTGCCGGTGCCAGCTAACCTTCTGAAAAGGCGCTCTGCGAGCAGAAGTCCAGAGTTCCAGTCTCGCCTGCTAACTTTACAAGAGCAGCTTGTGGTGATATGAATCACAACTGAGCCGAGCTTGTTTCTGGGTGCTGTCCACATCTCTTTGTGGTCCCATCAATCATTTGTTGCGGTAAAAAACTCAAACGTTTTCTCGCTCCCCTTTCAGTGAAGGACTTTACTTCCCCCTCAACGTCTTCCTCCAGTGGAACGATGATGACCACCGTGCATAGCATAATCAAATTAGTCGGCGCTTGTGTTCACAAGTTGGAATGTTTTATGGATTAAGTGATGCTAATGAAAATATGTTAAAATGGTTTCCCCAGCTATTAGCATGCAGACAATGGGCCGTGTTGAGCGCATGCCATATTCTGCGTGGCCCCAGAAGCCCCTGGCACCCTGAGCACCAGGGGCAGTGGCAGCATGAGAATGAAGAGCGGTCCAGGCTTGGGGGAACTGGGGATGCATACAGAAGAGAGGCCTCACACAAAGTGACAAAAGCGCCTCAGGGTTTTTTTTTTCAGTCCTCCCATCTTTCTTCCAGCTGACTGATCCTCATCAGTGAAATGCTGAATGATAATGTTGGAATAGATTCTGAAGAAAGAAAAATGTTAACCGTGGTTATAAAACAGTTATATATAGTTGTATAGGGTGACGGTGAGGGTGTTAATCCTCAGAAGGTATTTTGTTATGATTTATTTGTGAAGGTGCCTTTGAAAGGCACCATTAGCAGATTTCGGTTTCGCTGTTAATGACCCACTTATTAGGCACACACTGTAATTCTCAGCACGGTAATCCCGGGTAATGACTGTGTTTGGTGTAGTGGGTGGGGGAACCAGCGCACCTGTTGTGCCCCAGTTAAACAGCACACTGACCTTTTTTATGTGTTTCTGCCTGTTCACACAACAGACCAGGTGCCGTTCCAGGCTGGACTCGTACCAACAGGCAGACTGACAGCTCAAAGTTGGATGAAACGCGTATCTGCGGCTGGACTAATACGGATTGAATGGGTTTTGTGTGGTTGCTGTGGGGTGTTAAGAGTGTTAGCCCATTTCACAATCCCTGCATCAAAGGCAGGGATACGTGCATGATGAATGGCTGATGAGGGGGTGTTGTTTGGGAATTTGGATTGAGCACTTTGTTGAATGGATAGAATATTTTGTTTACGCCGTGAAGAATAACTTCCAGCTCAGTGGCTAGTAGATTGTCTACGCACACCTTTTTGAAATGTACCTCCAACGCTAAAGGTAAACCGTTCATGCTCATAAGACGGGAGTTGAATTGCCCATGGGGATGGACAAAACAACCCTCCATCCCTACAGCATCACGTGATCAGTGACAAAGATCGGTCAAATTAAGGTCTTGAAAACAGTTCAACTTATTTTGAAGCCAATGAAACTGGTTGATTTGACTTTTTTAAGACGGTCATTTTTTGAAAGACCTGGGAAAAGTTTGATAGTACAAACAAACAAGAACGCCTTTCAGAGCCAATTCAACACACCAGGTCTGAATCGTCACCATTTGACAACTGCAAGTAACTGTTACTCAGAAAGTCCACGCGTGTCCACTGTGTGCAGCAGAAGAAGAAGGAAGCAAAGGAAAGAGAGAGGCCCCGGCGTTGACAGTGTCAATACCTGTGATGGTGTCTGCAAAGACAGGGTCTAAGAGTGCCCCCCTGTACACCCCGTACAGATTGGCCCTGTACCAGGTGATGGAGGACAGGCCAGAGATGGCGAGGCTGCGAGCATCGGCGGGCACCGTGTGGTTTTGCCACTCGGCGCCCGTCTCTGCATCGGTAACCTCGATCAGAAAGGCCTCGAACGCCCCGTCCTCAGCAGACCAGGACAGGAGGAAGCTGTCCCACGATACGTCGCTGACGGTGACGTTGGTCACCACAGGCTTCTCCTCCTCTGGGTGATGACAAACACATCAACATGGAGTTACAGGACAGACACACAGAATGAAGACAAAAGGTTAGAGCGATACAGGTCTTTCATAGCCAATCCTGGAATCTTTTGGACTGAAACTCGGCTAACAAGGAGTAGACAGCTGATTTTAGAATTGTTCCAGAATTGGCTTCATATATCGGTCTAACCTTACCACAGACAAGCACACAAATTTTTGGGTTCCATTTGAATCTTTCTTGTTGACAACAATGACTTTTGTGAAAGATATAAAACAAACAAGACTGAGCTTATGCTCAACATTCGATGAGTCCTCCTTGCAGCTGCAAAAATATGATGATCTCTCATTGTATTTCAATCAATTCATTTTGCTGTCAAGAGAAAAAAAAGAGAATAGGTCTTCACTTTGTCTGAGGTGGAAATTGTCCCTTATTTCCACCACAAAAGGCCTCATTATCAATGACCGCCTATAGCCATCTCCTCTACATTACCATATAAGTGGGAAGTCTTAAAGATAAAAAGCAGCAGACAGACATGCTGATGCAGTTTGTGCGCATTAATGGCTGTGAATGAACCATTAACATTTGAAGGTTCAGCGTAGCCCGACCGGTATGGCAGGAGTACGCCGTCCACTTCAAAACCCATGGGAAGGCCATGCAGAGCCACGCACAGCAGCCTGTAATTGGAGTCCATTGAGTGTGCGAGCATTCAGGGAGTAGATTAGAAAGAGATGGAGATAGATGTTGCAGGTAAACATCAAGGCTCCCATTATCCTCTTTTCACTGTGCGGCAGAGTGGAGCGCAAATGGGGTGGTAGACAATGGGAGTGGGATTGGGGGTGGAGGGCTTTGCTGGAATCAGCTGATCATCGCTTGTGAGAGCTCATATGGACATGGAAAATGCATTTGCTGTGTGATGTGTCTGATGGGTTTCTGGCCGTGTAGTGTGGGGAGGATTTGAGTCAACGTTGTGTTCACTGCTGCAAACTTTTCTCCTGAACTTGCAATAAAGTTGCAGTGAACGATACTTAGTACAGCAGCACTTCACTTTAGGTCCCCCTACTTAGCACTCTTCAAATTTCACAAATGCTTTGTTACACACTATAATGTATCTACATTATAGTGTACAAGTGTTTGTATAGTGTACAAACAAAGCATTTGTGAAATTTAAGCAGGTATAAGTGTATGTGTTTTTGTCAATGGCAGCAACTCCTCCTGTGAACACCCATAAGTGGAGGCTAATGTAAACAGATAATGAATGACAATATGGGAAAACGTAATGATATAAAATGTGTCTGCATATGAAAATGTAAGGTCCTTCTATATTAACAAGCACTTAAAAACAACTACATTATAGTGTGTTATAAACCATGTGTTTAATGTTTTTATACCACTTATAAATACTAGGTAGCAGAGGTGGGAGCAAGTAATTTTTTGGCAAGTCACAAGTCTCGAGCTTTAGCATTCAAGTCCCAGGTCCTACACTTTGAGTCCTAAATAAGTCAAGAACTTTTCACCAGATGCAATTGTATTACTTTTTTTTTTTTAAATGTATGTTTAATGAAACCTGTATTTATTCGTTAAAACAAGTGCGACTGAAATTAATCATGAAAAAAAGGTTTGGGGAAGTGTCGATTTGCTGGGAATGAATAGCGTTAATGTTAATTGATTCAGGAAATGAAGGAAGATTCATTTATTCTTAGCTTTTTAAATAACATACTTTTTATTCTTTGGGCTTGAGGCAGTTTTTTAAAGTCAAAAGGCTCAAGTCCAAGTGAAGTCACAAGCCATTGGTGTTAACTCCAAGTTGTAATTGCAAGTTTTTTTGATTTCGTCAAGTCGAGTCTGAAGTCATCAAATGTGTGGCTTGAGACTGACTTAAGTCCAAGTCATGTGACTCGAGTCCACACCTCTGCTAAATAGGGTTGTTATCTCAAAGACAAAAATACAATTTGGCTACAATTCTCTTTAAGAGAACTCTTACATTTTTAAGAAAGCACAATTTAGGGAAAGTAAAAGGAAACATTCTGGTTTCAGCTAGCTGATATAAAAAGCTTCCTTTTACCTTGCTTTCTAAATTATATTAGTAATTGAAAAAAATAAAATGTTAAAGCCCAGCTACAGTTCTGGTTGTCCCATGCAGTTGAAGATATGTGTCATGACTAAAAGAAATGGTCTGCTTAGATATCGCCTTCTCATGCTGATATCTGCCATTTGATCCACACGCATTCATGTCACCTTCAAGATGAAAATCAATCCGTCCGTGCATGCAGGACAATGACCTCACTTTTTTCATGCTTTATGTTCTCTGTTTTTCTCCACAGAGAATCGGTTGCTCATGCGCTATCTTCCTTTGAAGTATAACACACCAACATAATGTCCAAAATAATGGCACTAGAAGAGTAAATTGAAAGGCAATGGTGTTTTGCGCTGGTGGTCAAACATACAACATATACCTTTTACAGTTTGTGGACAATGAAGACGCATGCAGTTTGGCAACAGAAGTTTAAAGCTTGCTAACTCGTCTGGACGGCTGGGTCAAAACGTCACTTCCGTTGCCAACATGCAGGAGCCGATTTTTGATGACATTGGCTAGAAAAGGGGTCTATAAGACTCAGTGCACATCTGATACCAGTTTTTAAGACTCCTCTATTGTTGTTTTTTCAGTGTAATGACCAACAGCAGGCAAACATGCTGTTGAATTTCTTAATTTGTACAAAGATGGGGACTGAATGTTGGGACTATCAATCGTTATCATTTCCACATGTCTGTTGTCATTGTTCCCCGAGGAGAACTCTTCCAGTCAGCTGATTAACGTAAATTATGATAATCCTGGTTTTTGTCTCCAGCGTTCCGTGTTTGAATGACATGAGTTTGTCTCTGTGTCTTTCATTCAATATCTCAATTTTCAGAAGCACATTTCAGCTTGGTATTGATTCCGGAAAGCTCTTCCAAAACACCCGAAAAAAGAACAACTCTAGTGACCCATCCTGTGACTGTCAGACACATGTAGAACCACATGCCGCTCCACCGTCAACCCCCCCCCTTCAATCCCTCCTGTAAAACGAGTGTGATCCGTGTTTGCGTTACGTGTCTGGAGACGATAAAGGATGCGGATCGGTCCGGGCTGCGGATTAGAGGGCTGCTGATTTCAGAGACAATGTTTTAACAGGAGTCCCAGCATGTGGCCTTTTATCTGACAGACTCACAGTTCATCGTGGTCAAATAGCACAAAACCAGAGGGGAGCGGGGCTCACGCCAACAATTATCACATGAATGAACATTGTGCTGGCTGCACACATGTCCATACAGCCCCCCCCCACACACACACACACACACACAAATACACACACTCAGTTTCACTCTATCTCAGTCTTTTTAGCCACTCAGTCTCTCAATCATATGTGCCACACATGAGCACACAGACAAGTGGACATAAAGAGTGGACACGTGCATGTGCACCAAATATTTCAGCCTAATATTAAAGGCAAAACTTCCCCACCTCTCTGCTTTGTTTTTGGCACTCAGCTTACCCAAATGATAAAAAAAGCTGACTTTCTTCTGGTGGTGTTTAGCCACGGAGATCAGATTTTGATTTTATCTGCCCAGATTTTGAGATTTCTTTACTTGTGTGAGTGAGATCTGGAAGATCCTTGACCAAGACAACAGGGTACAGGAGTATCGGGGCAGCCAGAGGCAAAGGTCAATGGTCCCGTCTGAGTTTAGTATAAAGTTGTATATATCAGTTTTCAGGTTTTTAGTGACATGGAGGCAGAACAAAATACATTTGCTTTATTGTGGCAGTATGAATTTGATACGGCTAACAGATCCAACAGACGGAAGGCAGCATTAGAATGAATTTGCAGATTCTGAAAACATGACGAATGTCAGTCCAATATTTATTTTTTGGCCAATCATCTGGCTCTTTAGCTGCTAAATGCTCCACTTTGTTCACCAGCTAGTGCTGGGCAGGAAGCTAACATTAGGGTTTATCAAAGCTTTTTCGCTGAAAATAGTATCTGCTGTGGCTAGAAACAAGATTTAGCAGTGAGATTGAACCAAAACAGTAAAGTTGTGGGTTATAAAACTGAAACAATTTTGGTGAAAGCTATAAAAATGCTTAGTAGTAATCCAGTCAGCAGAAAAAACACGGGATACATTGACGTTTCTGAACCAAAAATGCGTTGGGGCGACTGTGGCTCAGAAGGTAGAGCGGGTCGTCCCTCAATCAGAAGATCGGAGGATCCCCAGCTCCTCTAGTCCATGTCAATGTGTCCTGTGGTAAGACACTAACCCAAAGTGCTCCTGAAGGCTGTACCATTGGTGTATGAATGGGTGAGAATGATTAGTTAGTTCTTTAGTTAGTTCTGATGGGCAGGTGACACCTTGCATGGTAGCCTCCGCAGTCAGTGTTTGAATGGGTGAATAACGTAGTGTCAAAGAGATTTGAGTGGTTGGAAGACTTGAAAAGCGCAATAGAAGTACAAGTCCATTTATCATTTACATTTCATGAATACATTTCATATCATCTTTGTTTCAGGCTTGCAGAAACGTACACCGCCATGTGGTAAACGTTGTGAAACGATTGGTTAGGTTTTGGCAACAAAACTACTGAAGGTTAAGGTGAGAAAAAACATCATGGTTTGTGTCTTAACAGACTCTCTTACGTAGTTGACGTAACAAGCGTAAAGTCAACGTTTAGTTTTGGTTTCACACAGAACACAAACAGCAGTCTGCTGGGTGAAAGTCCCGTTTGTTTGACCCACCCAACACCGCTCCCACCTGTCCGTAGTCGACTTTTTCGATATATCACGTCACTTGCTCTAAGCGTCACTCCTTGCTCGGACCAAAGGCAAAAACGTCGACATTCAACGTATCATTGTTTTCCTGCAAACTGGGCTGTTTGTTGAGCTGAGGGGGAACGGAGTCCGAGATCATTCTTAGTGGGTCCGTCGCTCTGAGAGTAAAGACATTAGTCCAGCCAGTGAGGTAACTCAGATAACACTTTTAATTGTTCTCATAGAAAAACCGGCCGAGGCAAGGTCATTGGGTTATAATAACCAGGACAGTGTTCCTGGAAAACCAAAACGATCTGCATGGCTACCGCGTAAAGTAAGTGAGAAAATAAGGTTTTTGTATTTTAATTTAAAACTAGGAATTTGTTGAGATTGCGCACAAAATAGCCAAAGCCAGAATTCTTATCTGGGTATATTACTGAGGTAAGTATCTTAAATGTCAGTGTTTTCATGTTGGAATGAATGCTAACGATAAAACTCCAGACATATGTGCCAAAAACTCTTTCAGACACACTACTGCTTACTAGCTCTCAGTTAGGGACATTTTTCTTTTGAGGATGCTGACCTGTGGGTGCTGAGATGGTGGTGGGTGCGCTGGTCCTGCGGCCCCTTTCGCCGATGATACTGATGGTGTACAGCATGCCGGGTGTAAGGCCCCTCAGGATGTGGGACTCAGAGCTACCTGGGACCACGTCCTCAGCCCTGTGGCCGTCGGCGGACACATAAACCAGTCTGAAGGAGTCCAGTTTGGCCACGGGGCGTTTCCACTCCAGCATCATGGTGGTCTCCGTCACCTCTGCCACGGTCAGGTCCTTGGGAGCGTCCAGGGCTAATTAAGTAAAGTAGAGGAGAGGTTGTGATTGGAGTTTCAAGATTTGATACTACAAATCTTAAAACTTGTCCAAACTTGAAGCCATTATCTGAGATGTTTTATTTGAATTTCTCTTTTGCTACACTTAAGTGTCAATCAATACATTAACACAATATTAATTCAACCAACATCCATCTTGGGAAACGGTTGTGTCTCCTCTGCCACAGTAGCTTGTTTTATGTCCATGTTTTAAATCAAATAAAGACCAGAAGAACTGGGCAGTTCTGCAGCTGGAGCAGCGAAAGCCACCGTGGCTGTATAGTGAAAGACAGCATGACCGTACTTTTCATAGTGAATAACTAAAGACAAGGCAACAAAGTACTGGAAAAACATGTTTGATTGACAGAATATTCTGATGAAATGAAAAACTGTGGAAAGAAAAGCACCAAAGAAATGACTTTATAAAATGATGACACACCAAAAAATCCTTCTTGGTAGAAATGTGGTTGAAATTACAAAATTAACTGCAGAATTTGGGGACTCAAAGAGGAAATTAGATATTTTCTATATGAGATGAGTACAAGAAAAAAACATAATTTTATGCTCTGGTCAATCTTTATATTTTTGGGCTACTTTGTTTTCATATCATTTTTTCTTTCAGACTAGTGGAAAGTAAAACATCCGAAATATATTTTATGTGTTTATTTACTACTTTGTCTATTTGTGTCTGTAGATTTCACCTAAATTCACCAAAAGTTACCATTAAATAATGCCTCATTTGCATATTTAACCATAATGTTTCAGAAAACTTGTAATTCAAAAAAGTATTGTCCTCATATAAGTAATCAACTGGAAAAGTTTCATCATATCTATTAGTAAATTGTTTCACCTTATTCACCTGTAGTATCTTCAAAATGTATATTGCATACCTATACATCTCTTTAAAGGCCGTTTTCTCTCAATGAGTCTTTTCTCAGACTCTGATCCAGAAATCTCCACTTCAGTATAGCTCTTACATACACCAAACTTTACAGTTTCATTCCTCTCTATATTCTGAAGGTTTTTACAGAGGGGTTTGTTTATATTCCATTGATAGCCTGATTTATACAAGATTGTATTACTAAAACATGTAGAAAATGTATTTATTTTTTTATGGCTGTGACAGTATTTTCAGATTTATGGAGTGACATAAAAATAGATCCAAAATTCCTTCGTTGAAAAACTTTGACTCTAGTACACAGCAATGTTTTACCTGGCTTTATCCAATGTTCAGATTTCTGTTCTAGAAATGTATACAAATTAGCACAAATAATAAGAAAATTCATCATTTACATATTTAAACATAAAATTTCCGAAAAACCTATTATACAAAAATAGGTTATAATAATCAATTGTTTGATGGTGATATCTTCCAGTTAGAATTTGTACCCTATCCACCTACAGTGTCTTCTCAGACAGCACACTCAGAGATCAGATATAATCCAGACTAGTAAAGTGGTTGGGAGGCAGATTTTGTTAAAAGAATGGAAGACTCGGGCAACCATCTTTTCATGAATTCATCTGTGCATGGTGGCCTTATTTGAAAAATATTCAGATTGAGACATTATTTGTTTGTTTTTTGTTTTTGTTTGTCTTCATTGTTTGATGCGTTACTGCAACTGCATTTTCAGGCGTAATGCGAAGCAGCTCGACTGCAGTCAATAGAAAGACGCCATTAGACTCAAATTCACCCGGGGCGACAGTAGTGTGAATCCCGGGTCTGTGTGGCTGAAGTAAAAGGCACATGTAGAACGTGATTATATCTCACCGGTCACTGCGTTGGTGGTCGTCGGCAGACTCTCCCGCTCGTCCGTCACCGCGGTCACACCCATCCCGTACTCGGTGCCAGGTCTCAGGCCTACAGAAATAAAAATCAACGTAATGTTCAAATCCACCGAGTATTCACCAAACGAACGACGGGGAGACTCTGCAGTCAAGTGGGCAGTTGTTTTGGCTAGTGGCTCCAGTGCCTACGGCAAAAAAACACTCTCATGTTGCTTGGCTGCACAATGGATTGCAGACTGATTGCATTTCACGGTAAGCCTGCGCTCGCTGCGGAACATCAGCATTGTATTTGCATTGATGGATCTATAGGGCCCTTGTGGCGGAGCAGGAACACTACTTGCTATGATACAGCGGGCTCCGGAGGCCCTTTGGTCTCCACAATTAAGCCCTCTCTCAGCCTGATCACCTCTAATTCCTTTATTAACTCCCACAGAGGTCATCACACGCACAGTCTTGCAGCATGAAATTACACCTAATGCCCGGGAAACTCATTATCAATAAAATCACGAGCGTGAAGGCAATTACGGATAATAACTGTGTGAAAGAAGTGCTGATGCGTGTGTGTGTGTGGAGCCGAGTGGGATGTCGGCTGAATGGACACAGTGCTTTTATTTCCACGGGACGGGCCTCCCAAGGACAAAGAATTGGGCCAGACAAAGACACTATTAGCCTGTTTTTGGAAGCTTTTTTTGTTTTGTTTTGTTTCTCATGGCGTCTAATCCTGCCATGCCACAGCACACAGCGTAGAAACAAACAGGGGGAAGAAAAAAAACACACACATCCGCCTCAAAGCATGGCTTTATAATGTCGGCGGTGCAGATAGATGAAAAAGTTTGAGCGTAGATCTCACAGGGAAACAATCGGCAGTGTTATTCCATTTAAAGTTTGAATGCCAGACCCCCCCTGGGTGGTTTTCTAATAAAGTGAGCCTTTTGTAGACGGGCAAACATTTCACGACAGGAAACAAAGGCAGCCCATTCTGGAAATGAGCAGGCAGAATATAACACTGACCATTTAACGGGGAGCACCACAAACACTTGGCCGAAACAATTAGCAGAATAAACACTTAACACTGTATCTTTTTTTTCCCACAGACGCTTTTCAGCTGTGTCATTTGGATACAAAGTGGTAATGGGATAACAGACAAAAAATGTATCAAACAAGGTTGAAGGGATTTATTGCAAAATCCCTTCAACCTTGAAACATACCAGTATCAAACATGTCTGAACACAGGCACTGGTCTAATAATGAAATGTGTTGAGGTACTCACAAATGACTTCTGAATAGAGATTAAAGTCTTTAGTCTACATCATAGATATCAGCGTTGCCGCAACCTGGCAACCCACAAGTTTTTCTGATTAATGGTTCAACCTCCGAGTTGCTGGCCTGCCCATCAGGAGCCACTTTCGGTTCAATGTTTTGCCCAATGACACGTAGGGCTCTATCTTACACCTGGCGCAAAGCAGAGCACAGCAGCGCACAACAGCACACAACAGCGCACAACAGTGTACAACAGTGCAATTGTCATTGCTACTTTCAGGCAGACGCAGTTGTTATTTTCACGTTCAGTGCCCACGATGTATAAGTAGCAAATGTTCTTGCACTCAAACTGGTCTAAAGGTTCGTTCTCAGTTAAATAGGTTATCAGTACATATGCTCACATGCATTATTTAAATGGAGTCGTTGATGGGACAGAGGTTTAGGGGACAGCAGACTGCAGAGGGCGGGCCCACCTGGCTTTTAAATGGAATGGGAAATTACTCTCTGACTCTCTGTAAAACGCACCTATGATTGATCAAGAGACTAAATAAAACCCCTTTGCCCCTTGCGTTAAGATTAGGGTTAGGTTTGGTTAGGAGCGGGGCACTGGCACAAGGGGGCAAGGGTTAGGGTTAGGGTTAAATTATAGGCTGTTTAAGTAGCAAAAGTGGAGTTGGAGACGCTCTAAATGCACTTGCACTATAGATCATTTAATTAGGGGACCACATTGAAGATTATTCTGTGATTAATGGACGACTTTGCAGCCACAGCCACCCTGTAGTGTGCCAAATTAAGCAGACTCTGAGTGTATCTGGATATAGATATATAATGGCATGATATATAATGTATATCCATGATAACTAACAAGACTTGGGAAAACTGGAAAGTGGACAAAGGTTACACTTGTAAAGCATTGCATGAAACAGGTGTGTGTCAGTAACTTAAAAGTAGTAATATTAACCTGAATGGTTGTTCTAGTGCGTGCGTGCGTGTGTGTGTGTGTGTGTGTGTGTGTGTGGCTCTGGGATCCGGTACCGGTGATCTTGGCCTGGGTGGTCTCCTTGGGTCCCGGGGGGAAGAGCAGCTCTCCGTGCTCACCACCAGACAGAGGTCCGTACTTGATGCGGTAGTTTTCCACCGGTGCTTGGCTGTTCTTCCACTCGAGAGTGATACTCTCGTCCGTCAGCTCCACTGTCTGCAGGTCTCTGGGGGCGTCCAGGTCTACAACATAGACACGGACCAAACCTTAAGACTGACAATGGGGGAGATTTTCCTTGTTTTGTTTTACTAGGGTACTTGGGAGGACATTTGGTCCCTCAAGGAACACAAACCAGCAGGATATCCACCCTCATTAACTTAGAGCCATACGTAAAGTGTGTGTGGTCCAGCCCCCCTCCCCATCACCTGAAACACAGCTCATTAAAATGATGATGAACAGTTATTGGCTGTGCCTGGTTCATGTAGACAGTTGTGATGTAACAGGTTCGGGTCGATCAATTTTTGGCCTGTTAACACATCAAATCGTCATTTCAGTCTCACCTGTGAGGAAAGACTCGTGGACAGGAATGCTGGTCCGCTCTCCCCTCCGAGCCGACAGGGACACCTCGTACTGGGTGTCGGGGGTGAGGCCTCCCAGGTGGTACTGGGCGTCGGTGGAGGAGAGCTCCACCACGGTGCGATCAGTGGGGTTGGAGCTGGGCCCGTAGGAGACGCTGACCCCGTCCACCTCAGCCACGGGCTGGGACCAGGTCACCAGTGCCGTGGTGTCCGTCACGTCGCGTACGTCCACCTGGCTGGGGGCATCGATCACTGAAGAGGTAAGGGGTAACACAGTGATGCCTGTTAATTCCAATGTCCTTCTGCACATACACTTATGATCAGGTGTTTGCTGAACGATTGTTGAAATTGAAACTTGATAGACATTTTTGCACGAAAAGAGGATTGTGGATTTCGTCTCCTTTCACTTACATGAACATTGGATAAAGCCAGGTTCAAAATCTATTTTTCATTTTGTTGACATATTAGAGTCAAAGGATTTTACAGAGGGGATTTTAGATATCTATCACGCTATAAATCTGAAAATACTTTCAACAGCCATAAAAAAACATTTTCTCAATGTTTTTAGGAATAAAATGTTCTATATCACGTTATGAATGATATATGAGCAAACCCCTCTGTAAAAACCTTCAGATAGGAATGAAAGTGAAAGGTTTGGTGTATTTAAAAGCTACTGAAGTGAGGGTTTCTGGCTCAGAGTCTGAGAAAAAACTAATTTTAAAGATATGTATCGTAGAGTTACATATATTTTCAAGACACTACAGATGAATAGGGTAAAATTACTAGTAGTCGACCAGCACCATGAAACATGCTAACCTGTGGTGAATTTCGGAGAAATCTACGAATTCAATTAGACAAAGTAGTAAAATAAACACCTAAATGTTTATTTAGGATGATGTCTTTCTACTAGTCTAAAACAAACATGATATTGAAGCAAAATAATCCCGAATCTAAAAATTGACCAGTGCCTGAGTGGTGGAATAGGAGAAATAAAGAGAAGTTGCACCATGTAAAGCCAACCCAATAACAGTATAGGTGCACAACAAAGCTATAAGTTATCCACAATTAGCAGAATCCCTGAATTCTTTCCTTGTGTTCAGTCTCAGATAGTATGTCTTCTAAATGCATACCAAGGTTGTGTGTTCCTAACTGGCAGCAAACTAATCAATGTCATATGTAACATATGTCATTGTTCTTCATTTCCACTGGGTTATAATTGTGCCTGGATGAATATAACTAGGAGAACCTTGGCAGTGCGGGTGCTTTGGTCTAATTACAGTGAAGATTGAAAACTCAACAAAAAGCTCAAACTGTCTTTTTTCTGTTATTCTTCATAACTTAGTTCTTTACCAGACCATTTCCCTCTTGATTTAAGATGCATTTCGATCCAAGCTGCATTTTCAAGGTAGTAAAAAGTATTATATTACGTAAAAGTTATGTACGTTTTTGCATTCAAGAAGACAAGACGTGAATTCACCCCGAATGTTGCAAATTGAGGCAAAGACGTGTGAGCGCGTCTTGAAAACGTTTCAAATTTTTGTACTGTTTATATGTTACTAGCTAGCTTCAGCTATGGTCTGGACCGTCAATGCTTTGGCTGTTTGGCTGTATGTTCTGAACGCACATCACAGTTCACCAGTGAGTATCTGCTGTCTTATTTTTAGCAGTATCAAGACAACCACCATTAGTAGAACATATAGCTACTGGTTGCATCACATACTGTAGTATGAAAGAAGGGTCATGCTCTAGTTAACACATTAGCATGGCAGACGTTACTGTCAAACTTGCAGGCTTGTGTCTCAATTGTATTTCTTTCCAGCTAGAATTTTTGAGCCGCAGTAGACATTTTCAGCCCAGGAATGAAATGTTGCTGCGTTGCGTCGCTGCGTTGCTTCGCTGCGTTGCGTCGTTGCGTTGCGTCGTTGCGTTGCGTCGTTGCGTTGCGTCGCTGCGTTGCGTCGCTGCGTTGCGTCGCTGCGTTGCGTCGCTGCGTTGCGTCGCTGCGTTGCGTCGCTGCGTTGCGTCGCTTACTTTGTTATGTTAAGTTGGTATATTACTTTGTTACATTGCCTTACCTTGTTGCCTCAAATTATGTTTTTTTCAAACCATAACAAAATTTTGTTTCCTAAACCTAACCAATTGTTTCACAACGTTAACCACGGGCATTGTGCGTTTCTGCAAGCGTGATACACGGCTGATTTGAAACGTATTCATGAATCTTAATTTTGGTTCAGAAATGTCGACGTTCAACATATCCTGTGGTTTGCAGAATTTTACAATTCCCAAATTTTTTCTGTCGATTGGGAATTGGGTTGAAATTTTTTATCATGGTTATATCACTGGTGGTGAGGCTTTGCAATTGATGGTTTTATGGATTGATTAACTCATTGATTGATTGGACCAACAAAGGACGATGAAGGTAGGAAGGAGATCGAGGGTTATATGCCTGAATACAGAAATGTCAGCAATGCAGGTGCAGAAAATATGACAGCCCTATTGCATTTATGAGGCTATTTGGACTATTTACAGATCAAATCCCCGTGCCATGAGGGGCACCTTCTTGCCGGCGCTGAAATTGATTTGTCACACGTAAGCAACTTTAGGAAAGTCAACCCTCTGCGTGGGGCTGATAAAGTGAAGAATCTGTATTTGAGCTTAACACAGATTTGTCTTCTGAGGACGCTGCGAGGGTGTCGTTCGGGTGTCACGATACCATTCTCCTGGGAGGCCGCCGTCCCTCTGAGCCTGAAGGCTTGACTGACTGGTGCCTCCCCCACATGGTGGGTTGGTTGGAGGGGGAGGAGAGAAGGGAGAGCGGAGGGACTCGCTTCACACAATTAGCCCCTCAGCATGCAAATCCCACAGTACGAGCCCACAAGCCGGTGTAATGGGAGACATTAAGAGAGCCTGAGTGACACAGAACTCTGAACCTCATAATCAAAGTAGTGCTGACACGTGGTGGCATACATATGTGTTTGCACGAGTGCATGCATAAACCGTGGATATAACAAAAGGTCATCCATTTTGACGTTTTCTTGCCATTTTGACGTTTTATTGCGCTCGCAAGAATTCAACCAATAAAGAGAACTTTCCTAATTTATCCATACTGTCACCATGACAAAAAAGATTTGCTCTTTTAAAATAAAAAAAGTCAGAATTTCTGATTTTAATTATTTTGTTTACACATTATGAAAAATTATCACACAATAGTATTTTTCATGTTATAAAGACATTTTTTCTTGTTCTTGTAAAGAAGCATTAACAAGTTGGTATGTAGTTATAACAGGAAACTTCCATATGGTGTTAAAAGAAGAAATATGGATCACGTCATGACGATGTGATTACAGGAATAGTTTGGAGTTTGAGAAAATCAATAGCACTCCAATATGTGTCTGTTTGATATGAAGCTGGAGACAGTTAGCAAAGCTTAGCAAAAATATATTAGTTAATCTTTTCAATTAACTCTAGGGCAGAGAGGGTTTTCCCACAACAATAATCAATTTATTTAAATGTGCATTCATCTCAGCAGTCTCTCTCTCATCAGCCTCCCAACCAAGTATCCCTCTCTATCTACAGTAAAGACCCTACTACCCTTCCTTTCAATATATTGTTCTTCACTGAGGCTATATATTGAGGCTATATATTTTGTGATAACATGAAAGGGATTAAGCTGAAACTATTTTCTTGCTATCATCGTGGCAGCAATATGCTGCTGTACGATTGTCCCTTCAATTTGAAATCAATTTGACCTTCAATTTGACTTTTCTCCCAAGGAAGGAATATATCCATGTAATGGGGATTTAGAGTGTAGAACAGTGTGTGCTACTCATAAGAATAAGGGATCCAGCCATCAAAATACAACAGGCATAATCACTGCACTTCCTTTTCTGTGGTTCCACTGTAGATGATACTGAAGAAATGTAACAAAACACCCTTAAATTTACTCCAGCTGTAATTTACCAGCCCTGCTCGTACTGCTGAGTGCATAAGCAACGGTCACGATAGGCCTCTAATGGCTCTTCCATGCATGCCTCTGTTTATCCTGGCAAAGAGTGGACCATTTTCGTACCATAAATAAGCAATGAAGTGGCCTGACCCACTGCTAGATGGAGCTGCCATTTATTAAACTTTGAACATAGCTGCTCTGTTGAAACAGAAGTCTCCCGGGGCTTACAGCCACCGAGACTATACTTACAGTATATAGAAAACACACATTGAACAAATCCATCAAGAAATGGAGTAGTGTTTTGACCTGCCCCCATTCAACACCTAAATATAGCCCGGTGGTTAGTGGTTAGTCTGGCGGGTGAATCCATGAATTCAACCCTGTTTTCTCTCTTTATATTGATCCCCAGCCCCGAGTTCCTCAGAGTGTTACAAGCCATTGGGCTTTATAGCCCCGATGCAGCTATGGAGCCATCTCACAGCTTGCCAACAGGGCGGGAAATCCATATCTGTTTTTACTACCCCATCTAAATCACAACAATGCAATGAAGTCTAATGAGCTAATCACTCAGGGTTGACATGTCGGGCTGTTTTCAATTCACTGTTGGGGGTTGCAAGATGGATAACCCAGACATATCGAAACCAATGAACCTACGCAAAGGTATGAAGGTGACAATCTGTTTTTGCATTATATTTTGATGGCTTAAACCTTGATTTCCCGCCACCCCCTCAATCTGCAGCACTTGGTCAGAATGGTGAAAAGGAGTTGAGGTTTATTCTTTTTAATTGTGGTTGAATATAGGATTAATACGAAGAAGTTGAGAATTAATCGATAATATTGGTGTTCAATTTGTACCTGCCTTTCTAGAATCCATCCCTCTTTAGTATGAATATGTTTCTGTATACGTTTCACGAGGGGCAAAGTATGCATCAACACTAATAAGCTATGGCAGACTAGCAGTAGAGAACATACCATTTATACCATCAAGAAAGATGTACATCCTGCTGGAGTGAAACCATTCCAGTAAGTCTAAAACAAAAGAATGATAAGCCGGTTAGCAGTGTGAATGTGTACACTCACTTGTGACGACGTTCTGGGAGGCAGGCGGTCCACGCTTGTTGTTCTTCACCACCTCCAGCTTGACCTCGTACTCCTGGCCGGGGCCCAGGCCCGATTGCTCAAAGGTGGTCTCTGGACGTCCGAGGGAGTTAAGAATCTCACCATCTTCTTCTTTCTGCCAATACCGAGAAACACCATCAACCACTACAAAGACTAGTCCTGGCATAATGTGTGGAGTTGGTGGGGGAGGGGGGGGGGAGACTGCTAAATCATACATAATGGCGCTCTGGGTGGCGGTTGGACTTAAGCGTTGACAGGGGACTCGGTTTAATAGAGTGTAGCTTTGAGTAGATCCCAGTAGCACTGCTAGGAAAGGTTTCCATGAGCACTCAAATGGGAAAATAACGCGGTACACAAAGAAAATGTATGGCAATCGGAGCTGTCAAGACATGCTAACTGCTTTGTTTTTGCATGCTGGCTCGGCTGAGCCATTTTCCACAGGAAACCCACCATGATCCTCATGTATGCACATTAGGCAATTATTTAATTTGAAGTAGGGGGTCTGCAGTGGGTCGTATATGGTTTCTACCAGAGGAAAATGTGCACAATAGTGCAGGCTGAGGTAGGCTCTACAGGTCAACCACCTCCTGGAATACAGAAAGCCATTAACATATTGGGAAGCAGGACTCACTGTGTTTCTGAAGATGAGGTTCCAGCCATCAAAGGCAACGTCCAACGGGTCCCACTGCACCTCCACTGATGTCTCCCTCACTGACTTGAACTTAAGCCCCTCAGGCTCAGGCAGATCTGGGACACATAGAACAAAACGTTCACTACATTTCATCTAGATACTATATAGATACTATACTCTGTGTTTTGTTACGTGCCACAGAGGAGATTGACATACGTGTAGCCACCCGAGCGCTGACAGGAAGACTCCTCTTGTTGTTGAGCACAGCATAGACACTGATCAGGTACTCTATGCCAGGCTCAAGCTCCCGAATAGTGGTCATCTTCTGGTCCCCGGGCACTCGAGCTTCCAGCTCAAGACCTCCAGGGGCCGTTGGGACGTGGGTGATCAGGTACTCGGTCACATGCATCTCATTCTCCCAGGACAGGTCCACCGTCTCTGGGGTGACCTCCACCACTGTCAGGTCCTTGGGTGGCGAGACTATGGAGAGACACTGAAAATCAGTGGTTTGTACTGAGGTTTATTTTTTTAATGTTAGTAACATGGGAGTTTTCTCCAAGTTCTATATGGTTTAGAAATGTGGCTATGGACAGATACATTTACTTGCTGAACATGTGACATTTTGAAAAAAGATTAGATAACATCAAGATGGTGCTTCCAGAATTTGGATTGAAGTGACTTCATCTAGAAAATATGTATAAATATAATCTGAAGAATGAGTACAGGATTCAGAGCCATGTTGACATTTAAGTGTAAAGCTCACTGAAGGCTGATGTTATATAAAGTGAGTTATTAAAGTAATAATGTCGAAGATTTTCATTTAAATAAATGTCTGTTGAGCCGAATGAGGTAACACAATAGTGAATGACCCTATGCACCACTGGTGAAATGTTATGCTCCACTGGTGGTATGTTGCAGACGATTTGTTCCCACTATAATGCATCTTTCTCTCGTTGTAAATTCACTCATTACCTACTACATTCAGGTGACTAGGAGGAGGAATAGTCTCCTGATAATGTTGCACCTGTATCAATGGGGCTAGTAGCAATCAATCAAAGCAATTTATAACCACAATAACACAAAATCATATTTTCCCCATTTATTAGGGTAATTATAGAGATTATTTGTATAACATTTAGTTAACAAGCCTTACCGGTAGTGCAATGAAGTAGACGATGGGATGAATTATTTTAAATTAACCTGTGGAAAGCAGCACAGCATGTATGCATGGTCTTGCTTACCTTCAGAGCAGTCCTCTCCAATGAAGCCCTCGTTGCAAACACATACTCCATTCTCACAGTGTCCCTGGTTCTGGCAGTCATTTGGACAAGTCAGTATGGAGCAGTCCGGCCCGGTGAAACCTTCATAACACTCACAGTTGCCATCTACACAGTAACCTCGATCAAGACAGTTCTTGGGACACGTCTTCTCACTGCAGTCCTCACCAGTGAAACCCTTATGACAAACACATTGTCCGTTCACACAGTGACCGCGGTCCAGGCAGTCATTAGGGCAGGTCAGCTTGCCACATTCTTTACCAGTGAAGCCAACGAAGCACATGCATTTGCCTTCCACGCACTCTCCGCGGCCCATGCAGGCTTTTGGACAGGTCTTGATGCTGCACTCCTCCCCGGCGTAGCCTCTGTCACACATGCACTCTCCGTTGACGCAGCGGCCATGGTCTTGGCAATTGTTAGGGCAAGAGAGCTCGCTACAGTCTTCGCCTTGGTATCCTACATTACATACACATTCTCCATCAATGCACTGGCCCCTGTTGTTGCAGTTGTCAGGGCATGAGAGGATTGAGCAATCTTCACCCTCAAATCCTGGATCACAGATGCACTTCCCGTTAAAGCAATGGCCTCTCTCGTTGCAGTTCTTGGGACAGGTGAGCTTCGAGCAATCCTCTCCACTGTAGCCGGTCTGGCACACACACTGGCCATTCACACATATGCCACGGTTGTTACAGTTGCCAGAGCAAGTGAGCTCACTGCAGTCTTCGCCAGTGTAGCTATCTTCGCAGTAGCAGGTTCCATTGATGCAGCGTCCGCGGTCATAACAGTCATTCGGACAGATGAGTTCGGAGCAGTCAAAGCCTGTCCATGGCTCGTCGCAAACACACTCGTCTTCTACGCATCGTCCACGTCCCAGGCAGTTATGGAGGCAGTTGGTCTGGGCGCAGTCCTCACCGATGAAGCCGTCCTCGCAGAGACAGGACCCTTCGACACAGTGCCCATAGTCACCGCAGTCCAGCAGACAGAGCTCAATACTGCAGTCGTCACCTCCGAAGCCCTCAAAGCACTCACATTTGCCATCCACACAGCGGCCCTGGTCCTGGCAGTCATTGGGGCATTCTGGTTCGGTACAGTTGGGGCCCTTCCATCCAGGTTCACATACGCAGCTGCAAGTGTCGGTGCTCCAATTCCCACGGCCATTACAGTAGGGCTTTCTGGACACTTCACCTGGGGGTGGGAAAGAGTATTGTAAAGCTATGTGATCACAAATCATTCCGTAAAACAACGTGTGCGATGCATACACAAACTATGGCTGCATATCTAAGACAACTGGTCCAATAGAGTGTTGTAGGAATGAGTCCTAACATACAAAACTTTGTCAGGATTTTAGCACTTCCGGTTCCCTTGTCTCAAAGTCAATGGGTTTTTTTGAATGGGTTTTTGGTTCGATGCCTGAAAGAAGGTTTGTGGTTAACATAAGCATAAGAGATTTTAACATTTTGTATGAAATACATCTGTAAATATCCCTCTCGTGCATTTTGAAGCTTTTAGTGTCTTAAAAAAGGCTAAATAGTGGCTAAACGATACTGAAAAACCTCATCATTCCGACTAGTGCACCTTTACAGTCCGGTTGTGTATGCTAACGCTCAAGCGACTGTTATTGTAGTTCGTTTGTAGATTTTCACTTCTGCAGATTGCATCTAACCTTCAAAAATCCTGAAAGTGGTGTTCATTTGTGAAGATTAACTTGCTGAGAAAAAGGTATGTACCATTTTTTGTAAAAATATAAAATACAGCAAACTGCATCCTTACTTCCAGATGGCCTTTAAAATCAGTCCATTTCATCAAACCATGAAAACGTATTTACAGAGACTGGAAATCTTCTCAACAGGGTGAATGTTTCCAAACTTAATGATGCATGGAAGGATGCTCTGACAACCCATAACAGTCGGATGCTAAGAGGCTTTGCACTGACAATGATGTTTAAGTCATGACAGGAGATAAGCCGAAAGCTTGAAAAAGATCATGAGAATCTGTTTGTTTGCATTAAATGGGTCGCTGGTCTACATTAGATTGTGATAACTCTTCAGGTCCTTTAATGCAGAAATAGTTAGTTTTCAAAGAAGTGTGCCCACAGCTGCATCACTATTTGACAATAATGTCACTGATAATATAGAAATAATGACTAAATATTCACTGTATCATATTCATTTTATCAATTTTCATGTCTTTAACCAACACGTTCACTCCCAACTTGTCAAATACCAACAAGTCAGTGACCCTACCCTTCAAAGAATGAGGCTCTGGGTTCCCATCTAGCATTGATTTTAGACATGTTAGAAGCAAAATGTCAGTTTCTGCTTGTTGCATGCGTTGCGTCTTTTCAAAATAACCCTCCACAGAATTTACTTAGTTTAAAGGTTTACTTTATAAACAAAACTACTTGGTAAGGTTTAGGAAAAGATTGTGGTTTAAAATTTGTACGTTTGTTACATAAATGGCGTTAGTCAGGGATGGAGGTTATGTATCGAAAGTAATGTCTGACAGTTTAATAAGGACGCGGAATGCTGCACTGCACTTAATTGGTTTTATTCTTACCTTTTAGATAGAAGCCACTCGGTCACAATAGGCAATTACGCATCCTCTACATCTCACATTACCTGTGGTGTAACGCAAGGTTCAATTTTAGTTCCAATTTTATTTTCCATACACATGCTCCCACTTGGTCATATCATCCAACGTCACAATGTTTCTTTTCATTGCTACGCAGACGACACAAAGATATAACTTCCCTTGAGACCTGGTGACCCCAGAAGCCTAGTTGCTATTTTAGACTGTCTTAATGATATCAACTGTTGGATGGCACAACATTTTCTTCAACTCAATAACTCAAAATCAGAAATCATAATATTTCGTCCCCCAAACCCTATCGCTCCCATTAAAAATGCCCTTGGACCCCTGGCCATTAACATAAAGTCCACTGCCAGAAACTTAGGAGTAGTTTTTGATTCAGATTTAACTTCTTCTGCTCTGAGCCTATTTTTAGACCTCTGCTCAAAAATTGCATACCCATACTAAAAATATTGTAATTCTCTAACTGCAAGGTATATTTGAAAAATTTTAAATTTTAATTTTAGATGTTATAATAAAGGTAACACTTGTGAGATGTGTTCAGATGTGTAAATATCAGTGTATATGTTACTGGTTAAGAGTAAATGAAGATGGAACACAACTCAAATTGAAAAGTTTCAGGTTCCCCTGAAAGAAATGCACATTTATTGATATTATTTCTTTGAAATAATGCAGTCGAAAGCCTAAAAACTCTCCCGAATCATAGCACAACATGTCAGCAGTCTCTATGCAAAATTTTACTTTGATAAAGTGAAGCATACAAAAGTTAGAGAGATTTTAGTACAGAGAGGTCACGCGAGGTCAAGCACAATTGTCATTTTGGAACCAGCTGTTCCATTGTACTTTTATATACTATATAACTATATATTTCACTTGTTTTATCACTGATAGTGTTCAATCTATCCAAATAAAGCAGTTTGGCATCATTTTGAGAGCTAGAATCCTCTCTAAGGCCTCTCTGTGTCTGTCTATTCTCGTCTGACTGCAGTTTGACTGTGTCTATGTGAGGCTTTCTCAGCCTATGGTTGCTGGTCAATGTCAGACTATGACACCTCGTTCGACGCGTCAGAGTCTCAGGAATGCATTAGAGGTAACATGGGCTTGATTGACAGAATCGTTAGCCGAAAAAAACAAAACTGCGCCGTGCATCGCCCTGTGTAAAAACGGATTCGCCGAAAGTGAATTCCCTTCCCCCACGGTCCCCCAGGCTTGTCTAGCCCCCCTTTCTCCAGGAAACACTTAAAAAAACACAGGAAATAACTAGCAACAGTGTATTTAGGAGGGAAACAAGGATTTATGCCGTACTTTTCATGATTCAGCGTAAAGGTGAGGTGCTGCTAAGATTTTTTTTCGGTGAAGTGGTTTGTTGTTCTGGCGTTTGTTTGCTCACAGCTCTGTACTGGTTTCACGGAGAGAAATTCTGAAGATATCTCTGGATTCTGTGTCGAATTTTCGTGCTTTCTGATGTATTGGTCGGCCGTGTTAGCTTGTGGCTTTGTGCTGGTAGCTCGGAGTGGAGTTCATGGCTCGCCGAGTCATGGCAAAAAACACGTGATATTATGGTAAATCTTCTAGTTGATTATATTAGTTGTGTAGAATTGTGTTTGGAGTTTGTAAAAATGGCTTAGATGATAGTATTGCCCAGACTTTTATTATTTAATCTGGTATATAACATGTATACATGCATTATCTTCACTCTCGATACGTGCATTCTTTCGACGACATGTGCTACCCCCCTTAAGCCCAAGAGCCCCCAAATTTGGGGGCCTCGTGCATAGCTTCAAACCACAAGTCACAAAAGTTGTCCAGTCCTGTTTTCTACAAATTAGAAACATCGCCAAAGTCAAAGGAATGCTCTGTCAACCTGAACTGGAAAAAGTAATTCATGCATTCAACTTTTCAAGACTTGATTACTGTAACTCCCTTCTTTCTGGCATCAACCAAAAGTCACTCTCTCGCCTCCAACTAGTTCAGAATGCACCAGCTCGGCTTTTCACTGGTTCTAAAAGACGACATCACATCACCCTAATTCTGGCCTCTCTCCACTGGCTCCCTGTAGGTTTTAGAATTGATTTTAAGATTTTACCGATCACTTTCAAAGCACGTATGGGTCTGGCCCCAACATATAAAGGGGAAATGTTGACCCATGAGCCAGCTCGCAGTTCCAAAGTTGAGGCTGAAAACGGTGACCGTGCCTTTTCCAACAGGGCCCCTTGGCTTTGGAACGAGCTGCCTGAGGAGATAAGGCTCGCAGAATCAGTAATTTCTTTTAAATCTCTTCTTAAATCACATTTTTACAGACTGGCTTTTATGTGATGTCGTCGCTTTCCTGTTCTAATTCTGTTTTCTTTTCATTTGTTGATTTGACTAAATTATTTTAATAAACGCAGTTGCACTCGATTGTTCGGCCCCTATTGCAGTTTGAGTGGCTGGGCACGGCCAGTGTTGCAGGTGGTTTCTGCGGGTTTGGCGCGGGTTGCCGCTTTTGGTGACTGCTGCGGTCTCTGAGTTGGTCAGTCCCTTCATGGCGGCCGTCTTTGGTGCTTGGTGGAGCGCCCTTTTGCTGTTGTGGCCTGGTGCAGGCGTGGGTCGTGGCCGGGCGCCGGGTTCTGCTGGCGTTCCTGGGGGATCTTAGCCCATTAGCCCCGGGGTGGGCTGAGATTCCTCGGGGATGCTGTCGGGGCCTTGTCCGGGTTGTTTTTTGGGAGCGGCTGGGGGTTTGTCGATTTTGCGGATGGACATGATTTGCGGTGGGGGTTGAAGCATTTTGAGTGCAACTGTGTATGTGTATATATATATATGTGTATATATATATATGTGTATATATATATATATATATATATATATATATATATATATATATATATATTTTATTTTTTTTTAATTTTTTTTTATTTATTTTTTTATTTTATTTTAAATTTTATCAATTATTTTATCTCATTACTTTCTTAGTTTATTTTTAACATATCCAACAGTCTCACTGAGCTTTCTGTTGTTTTTATTGCCTTGTTTTTGCTGCTTTAACTGTCAAAGCACTTTGTGGACTCTGTTTTTAAAGGTGCTATATAAATAAAGTTATTATTATTATTATTATTATTATTAATGGTTTACAATAGCAATAGCTGAAAGCGACACATATAGACGCTAAAGAGTGCCTCTGGGTGCTGACCAATTGTCTGTATTTATCGAGTTGGGACGGAGAACTGGTTGTCTTTACATGTTTATTTCCATAGTGTAGTAAAAGCAAGGGAAAAATATAACTACAAGGTAGGATGATAAATCTGTGAACCTATCCAGCCTTTTATACAGCCAATGTTCGAAATGATTCCCTCGGCCAGTTTTTAATGCTGTGCTGCATTTGTTCCCTTAACTGAAATCCATAATTCACAACCGTTCTGCTCTCAAACTGGAAGCACTTTAGAAATAGATTTCACGTGAGTTGACTTCATGTATAGTAAAATAGACACACACTGCCATTACAACACAGACATTGCAGTACAACAGCACATAGAGTGAAAGGTATAGACCTACCCGTAATCTGAGCTCCACAGCAGCCCGTCCCACTGCTGCACTGCTCTCTCAGACTAGACAGCTCTGACTCCAGCATCTCCAGCCTGTTCAGGATATCCTTGATGTCCGGCAGCTGGTTGTTGCAGCCGCACGCCTGCTTGGGGATATTGATGCGGTGGGTGAAGACGATCTGATTTTCGCCGTCCACCGTGTGCTCCATGTGCTCGGTGTTCTGCATGTCAATCGGGGCACCCTTGTGTTTGAGCTCGGATTCGCTGGGAGATTCAAGGTCCACGGAGCAGAGGGACGTGGTGGGGACGTTGATGTTGTAAACGTGGTTGAACACCACTGGCTGGTCCGGTTGGGGCAGGGTGAGGTTCTCATGGGTTTTCATAGGCGCCAGAGCATCCCTACGGTGGCGGATGACCTTCTTGACCAGGCCGGCGTTGGACAGCTCGAGGAGCAGGGCCACGGTCACGCAGCCAAAGATGAAGCCTTTCATCCCCATGACGACCCCTGACACTGAGGAAGTAGCAGCTTCGTGCAGACTATTCAGGGTTCAAATAGGTGTTTTTGTCTTGAGTAAAAGAAAGCACAGACAGAAGGGAAAAATTAAGAAGGGCACTTCCTTCCCGGCACATAATTGTTACATAGTTTGTCTTTATGTCTTTGCACGCATACCAATCTACGCAGAATTCTGGTGGATATTCCCTTTTCTGGTTTGCCCTTGCCATTCAGGATATATTCATTAATATACTCTCACCACACATACACACATCCACAACGGGGGCCAAAGCTGGACATAAATATTATAGTATCCCACTGAAAAGCAATTAACCTTCTTCAGTTGCTCCCAACAAAAGACCACTTCCAATCCTGTTGCTGCCCCTGACCCACTTTAGGACCCTCTGCTCTTAGAGGAGGAGACACACACTTAGCAGATGACATTCTTCTCACAATTCCTTTGAGGACCGGGGAGCAGCAGCCATCACAGGGGCGGCGTGTGACCTTGGCGATCTTTGGCTTTCTTTTTTCCGGCCACGTTGAAATCAGCTTGCCACGGACAGCCCCAGCAACACCTGTATTGTGGGGAGCCTCCTCCGTCTTTTTTCTCTGCAGACCAGGCCACAACCCAAGTTGGCAGATTATTACCGGTGTATGGTTAGACCATCTGTGGGATGCCTGTAAAGCACAGAGGTCTGCTACCTGCAAACAGCTAGGTCAGCATTCTGACTGCTTACTTGACAGCCAATGGGTTTTCTTTCATTTAAAGTCCGTTGGAAAAAAAAGGGTTGTGGACTGGAAGCCAACCATAAGACCTGTTTTTTCTTTCTTGCTCTTTAATCAATTAAATATAAGGGTTGGTTACAGGTATGTTCTTGCTGTTATATAAGGTGTTATTTATTGATTTATTTACTTAAAGCATTTTGTTTCCTTTAATAATCATGTTTCTACTGGTTTTCTATCCTGAAAGATGCTGAGAGATATAAAAAGTACAATTCTTAGCCTGTCAGTACTGGAACCAAAAGGGAGAACAAAATTATCAATAGAGATGCCATGCATGCAAAGTGTCTGGCTCAGCCTCAGTTTATATAAAGCCTTTTTTAGCCCATCTTTTCAGAGATGCTGACACCAATCTTTTCCTGCCTCTAATAAAACCAATGTGTGCCTTGGCTGCTCTAAAGGTTAATAGCAGCTATTAGCAGCCAACATGAAAATATCTGGATAAGCACACAGGATATTTCAAACCCTGCGGTGGATTATGTATGAAGGGGTTTCATTTTCTCTCTGCTACACCTGACTTAGTGGCGCTGATGTGGATGCAGTAAAAAACATGGGGCTTCTTTGCTGGCCATCTTCATGCGGGAACCCGGAGGCTGACAGTCAGCAGGTAATATTCCAGCAAGAGGTGTTCGGTCTCCTAATCCCGGCCTGATTTGTGATTAGGCAAGCTGACAGATGAGCCCAGCTTGAAGGGATCTCACCGCTTCAACGCACATGCACCCTGCATCCCCCCAGACCCCTGATTAGACAGGCAAGGATGAGCGCCTCCATGATGGGTCGACTGTAAAAGTGCTAATATGGCTTGCTGAGGACCTTGGCCCTCAGGGGTCCATCCCACCCCCGCCACCCTGCTTCTCATGTCACACATGCACATCCACGCGCACACCAATACAGCCACACCGCTGTGCCCAAGCATCACAAACTAGGGATTAAATCAACAAAATAGCCAGAAAATTGCTTTGAGTTGCTGCTAAGGTTTTAGTTCTGGGCGGATGGTTGGCTTTTTGTCTTTGAAGGCTGGCTACTCTCCACATGGACCTCTGAGCGAGGCATCCCTGAGAGACCAAAGTGTGCTTTGTTCGAGAATATGTGGCTCTGGCAAAACTCTGCTTTATTCAGAAATAGATGAAGAGAAGAGACTTCCACGGAGTCGGAGAAGAAATCTGATTTGACCTTTTCTCTTCTTAGATGGATTCTACCACTCTTAAATATAAATTAGAACAGTCAGAATAAGAGAATCTGAGTGTGACGCTGAGAAGCAGAGGTGTTGATTCCCCTGTTTGGACTTCCTTCATGAGCACCATGTTACCCTGGCACTATGCTAATGCTACTGGTTTCTGGCACTGCAGACACAGACTTGATACAATCTGACTGCTGCTGCTTTGTTATTCCCTCATTTGGTTTTGCTGTATAGTTAGCGTCTCAAACAGTAACAAAGCATGTTGCCTGTCTTGTGGTCGAATGTTGGGTGATTTTTTTTTCCAAAAGAAACCTGCTGGCACACATATTCGGTGCAACTTATCTAAATGACCCTGTTGTGTATGAGCGAAACACTTGAAGTTTTATACCTCACACAGTGGAGAGCTGGAAAGATCCACTTGGCATTGATTTCAAAAGTGATTAGGTCTCTCGCTGTCAGGAATGCATGAGAGTGGTATGCACAAACCTTCCAACAAAAGTTGATACTCCTTAATGTGTATCGGCCAGAGGAAAGAGTCACATCCAAAGAGTCCAGGATTGACAATCCACAGAGAGTTGCTTCTTTACATATGTCCTGTCCTGATTTTTCCATTAATGTAATGTAAAAAACAGCAGCAGTAACTCACTCCCTCCTGACAAGAACAAGTGTTTTCCAGTATGTTCCTTTCTTTGCTTCCATGTTGTGCAAGTACAGAACCTTACACTTAGGGTACATCAGGAGAATGCATTTATTTCCCACAAAGGCAGACCAAGGGGATCAAGATAAGAGTTAAACAAGGGCAGTCCAGTCAGTACAAAACCCCATGAGTTACTGAATATCCCCAGCCCAGCAGTTGTTACTGTGGTTAACCTTTGCTGAGAATCCGAAATGGCAGCTTTTCTATTGTTGGGAAAGCAGTGGTTATCTGTGCAGCCGTTCTGAAGAGAAAATACAATTTGTTTTGGGACAAAAGAAATGCGAGTGTTATCCACAGCAATGTGTGGTCTGTCCTTTAAAAGCAAACCTATATGTGCTGTCAGTGCTTTTAATGAAAGGAAAAGAGAGATTGGTAGCAGGGACAGACTGGCAATCTGGCAGACAGAGCATTTTCACTGACACAACTTTTTGGGCTGACACAACTGTCTTTTCATTTTTTTTGCCTCACCGCCCCATAAAACCGGTAGATCTCATTGTTTTTTTTTCTTAATTGGCTGGCCAAATCACATCTTTAAATGATTTGCCCTTTGGACTCAGGGCCTTGATTCAACAAGGCATTTGCAAAAATAGGATGTGCAAGAAGGATAAGACAAAACGCAAGGGATGCGCGGAAGACACAAAAAAAAGACAGCCCAGAATATTAGTAGCTACGGACTTTTCAGACCCTTTAAGCGACTTGCTGCTCGCTGAGTAAAGATCAGCGGTCAGTCGGCAGCTTCTCTGGCAGCAACATCTCCTCTCTCGCTGTGGTGGAAAAAAATGTATATTTATATTATATTATGTTATATTATAACATAATATATTACTGTGTGAATAATATATATTACTATGTGAACTATAATAATATATGTCTTGCAAATAATAATTTGTCTTGCAAATAATATAATAAAAGTACTATGATACTTGAACTTATAAGTCGTTTTAAATGCTTTATAATGTTTTGTGATTATGGTTGTAAAGATGATAAATATAGCTGTAACTATAAATATAGTGCTATAAGCAGATTATTCCGCATTGTAATTATGTGTGCGTCTATGGCATCATAGACATGAAAGTGAAAATGTAATTTGTTTCGGCAGAAAATAAAAGACGTGTTATCAACAGCAATGTGTTGTAGGTCATTTCAAAACCAAAAAAACAACATCCAGTCAACGAAAGGAAAAGAAAGATTTGCTAACTGTCACTGCATAATGGCAGCAGTGAGTGTGAACAGACAGCGCAGTAGTTGTCTGATTACTCGACAACAAACAATCTGGATAATGAAGCGGCGTGCCCCCCTTGGTGCGTAAAAAGCTGTAAATATTCAACAACTACAACTCAAGTCCCAGGACTGTATGTTAATTAGGTCTGATAGGATGTGCACGTTTTCCTTTCATTTCTGAAGAATTTATCAAGCTTGCCTAGTTTTGTGGGTCACCCGTGACAAAAACTCAGCTTGCCTTCTTTGGTACAGTATCCAAATCTGGGTCGCTGGTACAAGGACTGAATGAAGGGTTATTGCCTGGGGCTCCTTTTACCTTGAGACACTGTCACACTAACAAGGGAAAGGGACCAAGAAATGGGCCTCTGTCATGGACACTCACTGCCATGTTAAGAATCATGAAATCCCACTTTAAAGGTGCAATGTGTAACATGTAGCCACATGCTCCAAACAAATGTGTGTGTGTGTGTGTGTGGGGGGGGGGGCAGCATTTCCCCTGTACTACTGAGTCCATACAATCTAAATTTACAATAATCAGTTCTAAAAAAGAAAAAAAGCTGAACTCCTAACTAACAGTAGAGATCTCTGCATTACAGAGACTTCTTTGACATAATGTCAACACTGTAACCTCTTCACATTCTTTAAAGAGGGCATATCCCAAAGAACCACATATGTACACTAGAATTGGAATCTGCTGATGAACATGTTTAGCACAATCAAATTGCCTTGCGAGGTGAAAGAAACCTCCCACATACGTCCTGAGCTAGAGCAGGTGAATATTGATTTAGATCCCGTGTCTCCACCAAGGTCATAGCCAGAGAGATAGCGAGTTGCTGAGGACAGCACTATAGTTGTGAGTTATAATCATCAAACACAGAAATGAATTTCCAGGAAGAGGCATGGTCGAGGCGCGATCGATGGTTGCCGTTGTTGCATTGCAGAAAAGGTTTTTCAAATTTGAATCACCTCGCGCTCTGGAAGACACACACTGTATCTTTTTCCACCCTTTATGACCAATGCGGCCGTTGATGTTGTGCTGAACTACACAAACCCCCCCTTAGGCAGAGTAAAGAAACAAACTACTGGGCGAATTTTGGAGGGATGCAGTTCGAAAACAAGATGAAGAGGCAATCAGTTTCGACTCATTTCATGTGAGGGAAACGACTGAGGCTGAGCGTAGGATTTGGTTCGAATG